TGTGTGTGGCACCGTGCACATCAATGAGTACCTGCACTGACATTTACTCGCCACCTTATGAATGGAATCTGAACTGGCAGCATCTGTGCACACACAGCTTTTGAAGCTCTCTCTCTCTCTGTCCTTCTCTCTCTCTCTCTTACTCTCACTCTCTCACTCTCTGCCATGGTAACCGGAGCCTTTTTTGCGCTTCAGTGCAGGGTACCCTGCCCTTCTTCCTTTTCCAGCATTCCTCTTTCTTTTCACTTCCTTTCAGAGAGAGTCAGTCTCTTCTCTCCTCTCTGCTCTACATACCCACTGACAGACAAAAGGAGGCGGAGAGAAGAGTTAAATAGGAGAATTTTTTCCTTTCTTTTAAATCTGTGCCCTATTTTTGACTGGGCTTTGGGGTGGCGGATAGAGTGTTGTTCCTTCTATAAAAGGAGGGGCTGCTAAATCTCAGGGAATTCAATCTGCCATGTCCTTGCATGTCCTCTTGAGGTTGTATGTGTGCACTCTTGAGTTGAACGTTAGGTGGAATCCTGATTCTTATCTTGAGGAATGACTGCAAATGTGTGGCACACTGATAACACTGGGTGTTCTGTTGAGAAGGGACTAAAAATCAATAGTGAAATGTGAAATGAGGATATTCCAGCTCATAACTATTAAGTATAATCAGACCAGTCTTTTCTATTGATTGCACGCTCATGCTTACAACGCAAGCAGTTCAACTAGGGCTGCTTTGAAAATCCACCATCTCTTTGCTATGCTATAAAAAGGACACCTGTCCTGCTTTTTAATGACCCTGAATCTGTCTCGCCAGCATGTGCCTAGAAGCTCGTTAATGGCAGCCTGTCCACAAGAGATGAGCTCAGAAATACCAGCAGAATTCCCCGTCTTTCTCCTGAGAAGAGGAGACATTAGCATAGCATGACCTCTACGGGGGCATTCTGCTCACCCTGCCTGCCTGTATCTACACCCTAATCAATTTGAGTGAGATCAAAAAGCCTGGCATCTCCTCCGTCACTCTCCCTCTTCAAATGGATTAGCTCCTTTTTGTGGCATCTTAAAGCTGATTGAAGGCAGCGTGCTGTGTGGAATACATTAGGGCACCCACCGCGCCACACACCACCTCTTGGGGCTTCATGTTTATTTATCAGCCAAGCCTCCCTAAAAGGAAAAAAGCAGCCGCTTCCTCTCGGCGCTTCCTGTCAGCGGAGGAAACCTGAGGACAGAATGGCTTCTCTGATGAGACGATTGTCTAATGTGTGAGCCTGTAGTGCTGTCTGTCTGCTTAGCTGCAGATCAAACGCAACATGGACTTGGGTTAATGCTGCCGTTTTAACATCACACACTTAACCTTGAGAGAATTCCAGCATTTTGTCTATAATTCATACCTTACACATGCAAACAATTAAGAAGATTGCATGTGATGATAACAGGCCCTGTTAACTGTACGTGGGCTGGGAAAGCACATATATCTCCCTCAGAGGTGAATCTTGGGTATGCTTGTGTCATGCTGTTCTGTCATTACGCTCACTCCACAGCCAGATTTGTTCCACTGGAGAAGAGGTAAAGCATTACATTGCTCTATATAAGCACTGGTTATTCTGTACATGTAATGCACAAATGAGTGATGTGTATTCATGTCTTGTCTAAGGTTTACAGGAATTCATCTGAAAGAAATTTGATACACTCCTGAAGGGCTTTGATGGCGATCCACTCATACCTGTATTACAAAGGACGGGATTATTCTCTGCGCTCTCCACAGTGTTCTCTGTCCACCTTCAGCCTTTCTGGTTGATTTGAACTGAGATTGTTCTGGCTGCTCTTTGAGTGCAGAATGAATGTGTAGCTCTGTATGAGTAGACTAGAGTGGGATGAATAGACCTGTGTGTATGGGAGAGAGTGAAAGAGTGTATGTGTATTCACAGAGCTTAGTTAACGGAATAGTTCTGCAAAAAATTCTCATTCACGCTGTTTCCCTAGGGACATAGCAATTAGGGATGCACGTTATAGGAACTGTGGGCCGATGCTGATATCCAATATTTTTCATGTACATATCTGCCAATGCCAGTAGAAACATGTAGAAAATGTAGAAATTAGGAAAATACCTGGATACTGTATCTGGATGAGCATTACAGAGAAATGTAACACTTATTTGTATAAGGTTACAAGTGTAGTAGGCAGCAGTTAGTCGACAGAGAGTCTGCTTTTTACTGCAAAGAATGCCCGATAACCGCCTACCATTTCATGAAGGTTGACTAGAAAGCAAATATCTTGCTCTGAAAAGCTTTTTTTGTCATGATCTGCAGTGCAAGTAGCTGTTTGCTATTGTTGACTTGAGTTTTGCTGGAAAAACTTTATTTCCTGTTTGAATGATGAAAATAGCTGAATGGAAGCATAAATACAGTAAAATAAAAAAATGCAGATATTTTAGCATATTTGCCAAGATGTTGCCGAAACTTTCTTTTCTTCCAGAGTGCAATAAATACATCTAAAAATCATTTTGAAACATCATATGTATGTATCTACCTGAAGCAAATAAATTTTTAGGCAATTATCTGCTGATATTCATATGATTCCAATATCATAATGCATCTTTAGTAACTACATAGCATTGTATCAAATTGTATCGCAGCATATTGTATTGTTTCGTAGGACTGTCATATTAGCATTAGCCACTAGCTTGCGTTAGTTTGACAATAACATATTAGCTTATTTTTAGAGCATTAGCCTAATCTGTTTCAAATACGGTATTTTTAAAATGTTAAATGTTGTATGAAAACATTAACATATTAATGTAAGACACATTTTCAGCCACTCCTTATTTTTGCTGCGTCAAAGATTGTATCAAATTGAACATCTTGTTTTGCATCAAATCAAATAATACATTTTGTGATTTGTTACACCCGTAAATCTCCCACTTACCCCAATTCTAGTCAATCTGCTAAGACATATTTGGTGCCTGTGGCCCAGTTTTGCACTGGAGCTACAAGGCAGATGTAGCTAACAAGTAATGGAAGTTTGAACGTCATTTACATCAATTAGCATTGTGCAAACTGCAATCTAAGTAATCACAGTTATATCAAATCTTGTTGATTTGATGTCACGTAAAATAAACATGTTTATGTGGTTTCTGACTCTGTATGACATACAGTTATCTGTAAAAATGGATAAAAGAGTGCTTAACAACTTGATGACGTGTACATGATTTGGGCATGCAGTTTGTTCAGTGCTAATTGGTATCATACAAGCTTCCATTACTTTTTATCTACAGTAGTCTCCTGCAAACCTAAAAGGTTAGGGTACAAATGTAAATGTATTTTTTTTGCGAAACTGTTCCGTTAAAACAGCGTTGGTTTGGGAAATGTGGGGAGCAGCTGACAGGGTGAGCGGCATGTCATTGTGTTCGGCTGTTGCTGTAGGTTGAGCCCTGCAGGCTGGGTGCTGTCTCCGTCTCTCAGCTACGACCTTTAGCACTAGGTAAAAAGCTCTGGGGGCTTAATTCAGGTCAACCTCCCAGCTTTCTTGTTTTTCTTTTCTCCTTTCATTCTTTCATTTCTCTCTCTCTCTCTCTCTCTTTCTCTCTCTGTGCCCCTCTTCCTCTTCTTCCTCTCTTTTACCCTGTTTTCACCCCTCTCCATTTTTCTTGCCTATTACCTATATTTATGCTCGTTCCATACTTATTCTCAAATCCATATTTGTCCCAATTCCATCTCAAGCAATCTTTAAGTCTAGACAACCTGGCAAGTCATGACGCTGGCCATGTTTCTCTGCCAGCTCCATTTAAACAGTATCCCCTCTCTAAATAAGCCACTAAGAGCAGTTTATTTTTCTCATATGTTCATTCTCACATGACTGACTTCCTTTGTTTATATTGCTGAGGAAGGACGTGGGCATGGTAGGCCGTCAAACTGCGGAGGTGTAGCCTGATCCAAACGTGTTAGACAAACAGCCTGCGAGGATCAACAAAGGGACATCAACCGATATTACATTTAATGGATTTGGGCGTCGTAGCATTGAGTGTCCTGAGTGTAACAGAGCTATTTCGTAGTGTCTGTGGTACAGCAATAGCTGCATATGCCCTGTGAGTGACAGGTTTGGAAATCATTTCTAAATGGCCTCTTTTTCTGTCTTCCTGTCAGAGGCGAAATCGCCGCCTGCCTAAAAAGTGTCTTTGTATCGTTTCAAATCGGTTAGCATGATGTCGGCAAACGGAAAGCGTCTCCGTGTGATTAATTGCCCGGGTGGTAGACAAGCGCAACAGTGTTGGAGACATGGAGTTTCACCGTAATGTTAGATGAATTGGCAACCTTACACTATGAAAACAGTGCAGACTGAAGGCCCCTGGCTAGAACCTGGTGAACCCCCTCGCTCAGGGCCTCCGGGCCCTCTCATTACAGCGCACCGCCATGCCAGGATAAATACATATTTCAGCTTCAATATTAGCTGATTTCAGTTTTACGCCTAATACCGCTCATGCAAAATGTAGTGTAAACACTGAGCTATTCAGACAGACAAAGGAGAGTGCACGCAGAGGGCAGCTCCAGCGCTGCTGTCCCAGCACTGTTTGAGGGTGTAGACTGAACATCCTTATTGCTAGATGGCCCCAGTGTCCTTTAGCTGACCTTCATATTCATAACGGCAGCTCCCCCTCCCTAATTCCCATCTACTGTGGACTGTGCAATTGATTTTTTGCTGCTTGAGTGCTTTCTAAGGTGCAATTGATTTGATATGAAGACTCCCCAGTCCCCATCCACCCCCAGCGTTAGCCATGGTAATGAATAGCTTCACCATTCCACGTGTATCCTCAGACCTCATAATTCAGCTTTCGAGACACATAGATAGCATAAAAAAGTCAAGAAAGGAGCTCCTGCAAGTCTGGTGGTTATGTAACCATGTTCTGTCTCTGTGCTCATAGTCTGAAGATACTACCAAAACTAACAGCATTGCACACTGCCTGTTTTACAAATGTACTGCAGGCAGACATGACTCAACTTAATCTTTCTTTTTTTCAGAGAAAACCAACCAGAAGCATTCATCTTCTCCACTGGAAGGGGTGAGCCAGGGGAGCAAGTTGATGCTTTGACCAAGCCCCCTGACAAGCAGGACATCCAGGCAGGCCTGAAGGACGTGACCTCTTTGACCCATGAAGCTCTAGAAGGCTCCAGCTCAGCTGTACAGCAGGCTAATGCCATGCTGCAGGATCTGAGCAAAATCAAGAATGAGATGAGAAACTTGCTCCAGGTAAGCATGTCTAATCCACTCAAAATTGCAGTATATGAAACTTAAAATCCCAGACGTTAAGAGTTAGTTTGTTTTCCTGTACTGTTCAAATGTTATTGTGGAATGACATATTTGATTGTGTAGTGATTATGTAGATTATGTAGTTGATTATGTACTTTTACAGTTGTGTTATATTATGAATCAGGAGCTTTCAGGACAGTGTTTTTTGTCATATTAATTGAAAGCTCCAGCAGAATTTTCTACTTATTTTACCTAAGTCTGAGAAATAATTAATATAAAATTACACCATGCTCTTATTGCCGGTGATATTTGAAGCTTCTACCCTTTTTGGCCATTTTTTGGTTATTTTTCTTTGTTTGACCCCCAGGTGACATTGTCTCTGTGTAAAAATTAGATTTATAATGATAATGGTCACAAACTATGTTGCCCTTACTCTCAAGCTATTAATGACATCACAAATTGTCATTTTAGAGAACAGCCATAGTTGGTCAGGCTAGATCATTCAGCACAGTCCATTCCAATATCTGGTTAGTCGCACACACTAGGAGGGAAAGGCACTGTCCTTCCTATTAGCACATTCAGTGCCATGTTGATTTCTCTCCTCACATTGATCAGCAGGTTCCTTGTCTCCTAAAGCAGGACAATGTCATTTCCAGTATTGTGCTTCAGGAAGTGCTAATCTAATTGGAGCAGGGCGCTGATGAAATCAAGCTGAGACTCCGACCCCACGCCTTGCATCTCGGTGACCAGACAGCAATTTTCCAATTGTTTCTTTTCTTTTTCTCCCTTGCTAATAAATTACAGCGCTTCGTTCTACCGAATGTGCCGCTGCCTGTTTCCATCTATTACAGTCACCCCACCCTCTCCCTCACCGAGCCATTGAGTTTCCAGGCACGCCTCGGCTGCGGCTGAAAAATTCCATCAGCCAAGAATAATGTAACACAAAGCAAATGACACATTAGCATATAATTGAGGATGCAGGATTTGAATGCTCTTTGGCCGCTGACAGAGAGGCCCAGGAGTGTGTGTGTGTCTGTCTGTCTGTGTCGTTCTTGGAGCTGAGAAAGCCTAGTCAGTCTGCACTCTCGGCACCTGGCCTGTTTTAATGGAATGTCACTCACATGTATTCACTGCACAGTGAGGAGCCTTCTCCAGCCCATGACAGATGTGTGTCCCTCACTGACCTGACCATTCCAGATGCCACATGTCGTCGTGACGAGGAATAAATTAGGGATTAAAGGATCAATGGGCTACAGATTGTGATCGGCAGATTTCTGTTGTACATTTGTGATTGGAGATGCTCCTTCCATCTGCCTGATGAATGGAAGCTGATCTGTGGTGCAAAATATTTGAGCCAAGTTGTGTTAGCCTGTTGGCCTACTGTTTTTTGTGGCAACAGTTGCTACCATAACCTGTTTAATTTACAGTATTTGGTATGATCATTCATTTACATTTTTATTTGAAAATAATTTAAGACCTATATATGTTGTCAAAAGTTGCACCACAGTCCATTACTCTGGGTTAGCTGTATGGGTCATTATCTAAAGCATTAATAATACAATTTAATACACCTTTTTGTGTTTGTACCTTGGTAGTTAAAGAAATGATTCACTGAAAAAATCTAATTCATGCAATCTTTCCCTGACCCCAAATGTGGTTAATTTCCTTCTTTAGTTTTGCACTGGAGCCACCAGGCTAATGAAATCGAAGTTTATGTTGCCTTAAATTAATTTTGCGTGACGTATAGCAGGTAGTATGTTCAAAATCTGTAACAATTCATTTTAGCATGATTTTGCTACTGTCAAGTGAACCATTCCATATCCATGTTGAACTAAAAAATTATGCAGACCATTGATTGATCAAACTAAACTATCACAGAATAATCGCACAGCGTCACTCGAGTCAGAGGACTCCTATTTCTATTAAAAAAAAACACCCAAAACACTTGCTAGCTCTTATCACTCTCTGTGACTCTTGTATAAAACCAAATGCTGCAAGAAAAGTATGGTTGAATTTCAGACTCCTTCATTTATGCTACTGTTTACTCTAGATTTGCATGAGAAATCATGTGACCACCACACAACCTACAGAGAAACCAGCCTACTTTCATGGTTCTGTTACGCGATGGGAAATGACACATGTACTCGACCAGGGTATGGATAGTTCTGGGTGCAGATTAATAACCCTACCACGCTGCACCACAGCAATAGACTTTTACAGCCATTACTTTTTGGCTACATTAGCCTTGTAGCTCCAGTGCAAAACTAAAGAAGCAGTCTTTGGACAGAAATTGTGTCTTGGCTGATCAGCTACGTTTATGGTAAGGGGAGAATTGTGCAAATTTCATTTTTTGATGAACCAATCCTTCTATACCTGGATAGATCGATATTGGGCAATTTTTTTTTTTCACAAAAAAAATCATAAATCAAGTCAGCCTCACAAAATGTTCATCTATCCGGTCTTAAAAGAAACACTGAAGCATGAGAATAGATTGATGCACTTGATGCACCCTACTGTACTGTACTTATGCTGTAGCATAATTATATTTGTGAATGCACAAACATGAAGACACACATATATTAATGCTTATATTGTTGCTGTCCAAAAAAACAAGTATCTTCAAAATAGTAAATTTACAGGAGAAGGCAGACGCGTTCTTTACTTTCAGTATAAGCTGATGTGACGATTCATTATTGCAAGCAATTCTGAGCATTTCTATTGGTCCGTTCATTGTGAAATTTTCACACAAAGTAAAGGACAGCTACCCTGCTCTAATGAAGTAGAAAAGCAAAAATTGAAAAAAATGCAGATACATGTTTTTCTTTGGACAGCGACGATGTTATTTCAGTCAAATCTAGTTTTTCTGTTGGTTAGTAATAGCAGCTCACTTTTTCAGTCCTCTGGCTCTCTGTGCTCACGTTCTCTCTCAGACTGCTGATGCATTTCCTGTGAAGAGTGCCGAGGCGAGTCGTAGCAGCAGGAGCAGCCGCCCCGCACCCCCCACCCTGCCCTCTCCTCCTCCCATACCCCCTGTCTCCATGGTACGTTCCCATAGCAACCCCAGCCTCTGCAGTACCCAAGTTACGAGCCTTTTTACTCCATGCCGTCTGCACACGCTGTCCACAACAATCTTACAGGCACAATGGCACCTTTTGTATCCTTCAGTTTCAGCGGCTGCTGTTACACAGAGACTTTACAGATAAATCAGCACCGTTATCTCTCTTTTACACCTGGGCAGAGAGAACCAATGCACAATGCCTTTAAAAATACATATCCATGCTGTGTCACACCTCTCCAAACACAGCAAACAGCCATTTGCAGCTTTCCTTTTGTCAAGCATGTTTTTATATATATTTTTTTTCCTCAGGGGTCTATAATTGCTACCATGACTTGAGAGGCTTTACTACAATTGTACCATTTGTAGCTTTTCAATGAATAACGCACATTCTGAATTATGTGAATTGGCGTATTACACGTTTGAACAAAAATATCCATTTAGTCACAGATTTAACTGATGTCCAGCAAATTTGCTGATCCTGCCTTGCTTCCGTGTAATATGGCTAATTTTAAAGCTTTTGAAAGCACAGCCTGTGGAATTACATGGAGGTGTAGCCTCAGAAAATTGCTGGCGAGTACCCGCAGTCACTGAGGGTTTGATAGGAGAGGCTGAGGGTGGAGAGAGCCGTGTCAAGGTGAGGAGGGTGTGCTCGTCTCAGTAATGGATTTATGGAGCTCCGATAGATTTATATTCAGGGGAGGATGAGAGCTAGAGACAGCCAAGGTCCCGCAGCTCAACACACACTCATGCTCGCTGAGAAGGAACGTGACAGGCTTGCTATTGGGGGAAAAATACAGGGAATAAGACAGCCCTGACATAAGGCTAACATGGGACTCAGATTGCATTTATTCTAGTGTTTAAGTTGCATTCCAGTTCTTTTTTTGGTGACAGCCAGTCAAGCCTGACTCAATAAAACAATTAAGGACCTTTTCTACATTTTTCCCAATCTCTTTTTTTCTGCCAAAACATTGTCACTTCCCTTAATTACTCCATTTGTTGTTCTTATCACAGCTGCATTCTCTGTCCATTATTTGACTATCAAACATGCTAAAAGCAGTTCTTTTACAAAGACTGTGCATTTCTTTTTCATTAAGCTACTGGCTTATGACTTATACTGTCTTGCTCACTGTTTCTCTCCTAGGGTGATGCTGTCACTTCTAAGGCTACGCCGCCGTCCTGTCCCAGCGTGCTGCAGAAGAGCCAGCCGCCCGCCTCCCTGTTTGAAGATGCGGGGCGAGTCCTGAGGCAAGTCAGACACAGCCGAAAGGTTCTGGAGGAGAACCTGCAGGCTGTTGTGAGAGCCAAGGATGGAGAGGTCCTTCATACACAACTAGAGGCGCTGTCCAACAACAGGTATAATATCCAACAGTTCTCTGTAGCCTTAATATGAAATGATGAGCAGTTGCAACTGACCATACAGTTTCAAAAGTGTTCAGCCAGGGGATTTTTGATGGTATTGAAAGAATGTCAACCCAATGCTCAAGCTTTATTCTCTACATCTCAACAATGAACAATCCATGTTCTTGACATTAGCTAAGGAACTTTACAGTTTTGCTGAATTTGTTTTCCACTTCTAAAACTTCTGGCTGTGCAAATGCGCTCAGGCGTCAAGCCCTGTATCTGATGTTGATTGACAGCTGGCCTCAGAGCACACTTGAGGCAGGAAAGGGCTAAGCCAAACGGAACCATCAGCATGATTGGCGGCTGTCAGTGGAGCCCTTTATCCAGCTCAGCTCAAGCCCGCATTCTCTCACTCTGTAGACTTCACCTGTGAAGGCAAGGTCTTGTGCATACCTTCTAGGTCACCTGCACTGAGGACATTTTAAGGGTGTTTTATGATTTCAATACAGTATCAAAAAAATGAGAAAAAAATTCACCATTCAAGGTGTATCATTAGTTCGGTATATGTTATGTTTCATCGCTGTAAGTCAGAGAAAATGTAGAGGTTAACAAACAGGGACGTGGGAAGTGGGAGTGCTGAGGGTGCTGCAGCTGTCACAATTTCAGGACTGCAACTGCAACAATAATAATAGTAAAAATAATAATATAGAGATCTGAACTTGTTAATAATTTGAGCATAGCAAAGACTCATGCATGCTTGTTTTAGAGTGGAGTTTGAATTTTCTGCTATGTGTGTATGTATTTTTCTGAATCTGCAGTAGCCTTGCTCTGTTTAAGTTAACGCTGTTTTTTCGCTTTGGGGACACGCCACTAAAACACACGCAGGTTAAGGTTCAAAAAGAGGAAGTGTAAGCTATACAGAGACAGAGGCCAATTCTAAACCCCCAAGCACTCTAATACTGTTTTTATACTGTTTTAAAAATCATCTAATGTAAAAATTTATCAACCGTATCTTCTACTCAGTGTAAGTTCCAGCATTAAATGAGCCACATATCGAGAATCTGATTGGTTGCTACTTAGTTTGTATAAAATCTGTCTAGAATTAGAGAGCAGGGAGGGTGTGCATCTGCAATCTGATGTATCAGTTATATGTATGTATTGTCATCTCTCGCCTTATTATGGTGTAGTATGACGCATTCTATTTAATGTAAAGTATCAAAAATTCACATGTACATAAAAAAGGCAAATAAATTTGGATGTTGTCATCATTCATGTCACAAATATGCTGCTTAAACTTTCAGCACCCCCAACTTAAAACACCTCCCTGCTAAGAATTCATTGAACAATTCAGTGCTTGTATTATTAGTTATCTATCAGTTAGTTATACTTTGCTACTCCAAAAGACAAGTGTGTGAACATGAGAGTGATGCCAAGGATGTGACTGAGAAAGCAGAGATAGTGCTGCTGTATCACTAACTAGGCTAGGCTAGGTACTAAAGGACAGCTGGATTATTAGTTATTTTTAAAAAACTTATTATAAGTTATTTTTTTAAAAAAAAAGGAGATACAAAATGATATAGAAATGTAATCCTGTGTCATGCCCCTCAGCCTTGTCTCCTGGATATCTTATTTGCTGTCTTTTGTGGAAACGTTGGAAAAGTTGTCGTTGATTACTACTAGGCGTTTACGTCCATCCCATGAGAGTTATATGGGGGAGAGGTGGGCGGGGCTTATGCTGTGCACACACCCACACGCAGATGACCAGGCTTGCTCAGAAACCTTTGGAATTGCTATTTTATTATTGAAAATCAAACTGAATTTTTACCTCATCAAAAATCATGTCAAGCTTGAAAATATGTATATCGTTGTAGTTCTTATACATGACATTGAATTAATTGATTTATTTTTCTTCTTTTTTTCTTGTTATGAAACTAAAAAAATGGTTGGGACTAAAGGGCTATCATCAGTCCTAGCTTTAGAAAATGTTACTTGCTGTTCTGCAAAACATATAGAATTATTGCTTTCGTGCCAGCGTGGGCTTTTCAGGTGATTGCAGACTCACAATTCAAGTGCCCTTCTATTTGTCTATCAGCTAGAAATAATCTTTGACTGGCAGAGAGAGTGTGCAATTTATATTGTGAGTCAGCTCTAGGCCAAAATGCAGAGTGAATATGAATTATACTAAAAGAAGAAGCTCCGCCAAATTTCATCACATCATGAATTTAGACTGAAGTTCGGCCGCAGTGTGCTGCCATGCATCCGGCCGTATCACTGATAGATTATGTCACAGTGAACTCCGTAGAGGTTTTGTTTGTTTGTGGCTTTTAGCAAACTGCAGTTAGAGTGAGGTGGAGTGACGGGGGATGAGAGGGCCGCTGCCTCAGTAGCTCTGTGGGAGCGGCGCAGAGGCTTTTATAGCAGGAGGTCAGACTCAATCTGAGCACTCAGCCTGCTCTCAATGTGACATTAGGCCGGCTCCCCCAGGCGCGCTGCCGCTAATGGTTTGTGATGCGGCGAGAGGCGGATTCGGTGTGAGCTGCTGGAGGAGAGCCGGAGCAGCCGGCGGAGTGCTAAAGCAGCAGTTTAAAAACTGAAATGGAGAAGGCTGCCCCAGGACTGCTGTCTGCTGCTGATGATACTGAGGAGGGGAGAGAGGGGAGGGGTGGTAATAGTCCCCACTGGCTCTCCTGTGGCTGAGAGCTCTATCAGTGTGTAGGCATGGGAAGATCACAGTGAACACACACTTAACAGCAGTGAATCTTGCCTTTATTAGGTGCTACGTTTGTCGGGTAATAGTGCAGTTTTGTATCTTTTTTTGTGTTTCTGTTCATCACTCTCCTTTCACTACAAAACCCAGCATGTATTACACAAATATGTCACACACCATATGACAGAAATCCCTCACGAGAATAAAGAAATCCACTGATGTGCCACTGTTGTAGAGGCTAATAAAAACAGACATGATTTTTGGCTTCCAAGCCTTAACGTTAGCTGTCTGGCTTTCTTCTGCATTAGCCTGCTAGTGGAGGAAAAAATTACATTTCAGACATCCCTCAAAGCAGTTTTTCAGAGTCCCTTGCGCCTTCAAGATACATCATCAAAAGTGGGGGGTTTCTTGTCTTTAAACCTCTGTCTAAAATCTCACTCTTTACACTGTTGTGGCACCACTGTAGGATGTGAGTTGGCATGCTTACAACAGCTGTAGAAATGGTTACATTTTTTATTTTGGCCTGAGTGTCCGTTTAACATATTAAAGATGAACCATGTTAGACCAATATGTGACCTATATATTGATCTATATGTTCATCAAAAAACTGCTGTATTTTGGCAACTGAAAATGCAGAGCCTGTAGCCCAAGTGGCCACTTGCCTTTTTTGTGTGTTTTTCCCATTTAAGAAACCTGTTTGAGTGAGGACTAATCTAATCAGACAAATCACATTTCTTGGAATTTGTTAGGTGTAACCACTGTGATATTTGATGGTGTGGTGATGACTCTGGTAACCGCCTTGCCAAGCTGGTCCACCTGGCATCATGGATGCTGTTCTGTTAGCTGGAATTTTGTATTATCACTGTGTGAAACAAGGTCTTAAATATATAATAGTGTTAAATAAACTGATGTTACACCAAGAGGCTATCACGTCAGTAGCTAAATGGTATTTAATTAAATATCAGAGCAGGTGACATCAGAGCCGACCAGCCAGCTGCTGGACCACCAACGGCAAAATTCTTATTACTGTTTTTAATAAATATTTCCTGTTTCAAAGCAGCGCTTGTTTTTGGTACTGAAGGTACTGAAGCATATTTTGCAGTGAACATATTCCTGTAATACTGGCCACACATTCTTAATTTTGGCCATAAGATTCTTTGGCTTGGTGGCCTTAGTGGACATTGCATTAATCTGTCTTCCCCTGCCCTCAGCTATAGCTGTTGCACACATTTTCTTCATACATACGATCAGGAATACTTGGAGAAACTGACTATTATATAATGAAAGTGTGTGCAAAGGACTTTTTAAGTGTTGTATTTTCTTTATTTTTATTTCTTTATCTTTAATTTTATTTTATTATGTTTTTAATTCATTTGCTTGTGAATTTGTTTTCATCAAAATAAACCTGGATAGCCCTTCTATATGTTAATTTGTTATAAACTGATAAAGAAAATGAAAAACATTGAAACCATTGAAAAACTAGGCGTCCCAGATGTCTGTCAGGCAATCTGTATACCTTAGTAGAATGCTGAATGATGCGAGATGAACTGAGGGATCTTTTAGCCATTTGGTCTGCTTAGAGCAGACTTTATTTGGAACTTTTGGGCCTCACCATGGCTAAACATCTGTGGGGTCTTGGTGGCTCCCCTCTGACACCTCTCAAACCCAGCCTGGTATCCAAACCCTCAGTTAAAAATGTCAGCCCCAATGATAATTGTCTCCAAAATGGCAAGCACAATCAGCTCTGCTCCTAACGTGCAAGCATGAAAACACAAACATGCTGATTGATGCGGCTGCCGCTCCCTGCTGTAATGGCTTTGATCTTTTCCTCCGCTGAAAGGTCGCAGGGATGGAGAAGCCAGACACTGCTTGCACGTACTCACTCTCCTCCTTGCGGGTTCCGCCCTACCGTCTTCCACGCTGTAGAGGAAGCATTTCTCGTCACGCCTTATGTGCCTGGCTTGATGGATTCATTCATTTGGGTTTCTGACATTGCAAAACGAGGCTGAAGTAAGATTTTATCCCTGCCATCCATTTCACTGAATTATTAATGAAGCCATTTGCAAACCTGAAAGTTCCCAACCTTTACTTCATCATGTTTCATGGCTAAAAAGTTGTAGCCCACCTTTCTGTGGAATAAAAATTAGCACTATCCAACTCTGAATTACTTTGTAATTATAGCTACCGTCTGTGTTGAAAATCACATGGAGCACGGTGCATAATTCAACAGATGGCCAAGACCACCTTTTCGGTTTACTTCTTGGCTATGGTTTGGTGACTCTTCTTGAGCTTTGCTGTTCTTGTTGCTTGCCGTCTCTGATCTCTTTCTATTCTCCATGTTATTTAGCTCTTGCAGCTGATGACATCTAATGCCATGTGTTTCTCTTGGGAAGTTGGAAGTGGGAAGGCAGAGGACACCTGGTTTAACCTGAAGATTAAAGAACCCTCTGATTATTCCATTATCCGTTTCCCACTTGTGTCAACTCTTCCCCTGAGAGCCCTTGTTGCTTTATTCTTGTGGTAATTACAGTTATTGACCAGGCCAGGATCTGCTGTTGACCACCCAACTGATGTCCCATCTTCTGCTGAGCACCAAAAGTTTATCACTCTTCTTAATCGCTTCATCAAGGTCTTTTATTTGAAAAACATTTTCTTTCTGATTTACACATCTTCTACAGCTGATTCTCTTTATTGAGTGATCAAGGCTTGTTTCATAATTTAAAGTTAGTCAAGAGCATCAGGCAAATCAGGAAGATGCACATAGTAATCTCTAATAATTCTTCATAATTCACAACACAACTGAGGCATCTTAATGAGCATCTACCATTGAGTGCAATGCATTTCAGACTCCTTGAACTGTGCCTTGGCTTCTGGCATAGTTAGCAAATAATTATAAACACATCCATATCTTTTGGAAGTCTAAGAGTGCTGTTACTTTGGATCGTTTTATTCTCGCTCCTTTTGTGCAGTCATCTCTGTGAAGAAAATGTGAATGCGTCATTGCGCTGCAAACTCTTTATAGCTCATTTTCCACCTTTTATTTCTTCAGTCCCAAACTGAGGAGCTCAAATATTCGGCATAATAAGAGCTTAAAACGGCCTCAGCTGGAACACGGCGGTGTAAAAGGCGAGCAGCCCATAGGGTTAATTGAAGGTCATTTCAAGCGCTCGGATCAATTGTGCTCCATTTGGAATCACGAGTGTCTTCAAGCATCATCTGATTAGGGGAATCCATCACGCTGCAGACATTTGACAAGAGACTGAGCAGCGCTGCAGCACACAGACAGGTCGTTGATGGAGGTAGAATCTTTTTGCAAGAGCATATATGTTTGTGTGTGGAGGGCTTGTCATGTGACATGAGGTGGGAGGCTAAATGTGAGTGGAGGGCTACTGTTGGGAAGGAAGAGTAAGGGGGATCAGTGAACCTCCATTTTCCACAGCCAGCTAAGCAAGGCTGTATGTGTGCACAAGATGTTTTTAATTACAAGTGTAATTAGTGTATATTTTTTTTTTATTGATTTGCATTATTAACAATACTAACAATGTTAGTATCACACAGCTTGGGCCTGTGCCTGGTGACTGTTAACCGTTACTACGGTAACAGCACCCCAGTGATGGTAAAAACTCTCTTACCTCTGGTTTAAAAGAAAAAAAAAACACTGGTGATTTGTACGTGGCTCGCACAATAATTTCCCATCCTTAAAAATAGCAAAACCCTTTACGTCCAAACTTTGACAAAATTCTTTTCTTTCACTTGGGTGTCGCATTGGTGTCACCTTGTGGAATATTCTAAGAAAAGGACACAATATTGACTCCACAGTTTTATTAGTTAAGAAAAAGAGTGGTTGCCACGGGTGCAAGCAGAGGCCAGGAAACATTTACTGATTGCCTAAAATTGGTTTTCCAAGGGCAACCGGGCAACCAATAGTGTCGAGCGCTGCAAATATTTGTGACGATATTATTAACATGAAACGTAATAATAATAATGTGACAGTGTTATTTTTGGAACAATGCCAAACGCTACACATTTTATTCCTTTGTTGGCATGTCAGCACTCAGCACTCATCAGCACTCATCAGTGCTCAAACTTTTCATGTGTTTAGGGCACCTATGGGCCAAAAAAAATTCAGGATGTGCTTTTAGATGTAGAAAACTGTCTAAACATAGTTTAGACAAAATCATCTTTTCATTCCAATCAAGACTATTTCAGGAACATGAAGCAGGTTTGTTGTTGCAAAATGTATACAGAGTATTAGTAAATACCTGTTTTATGTGGGGATTCCCCATCATGATCCAAAGAATTGGAATCATGCCGATCCAGGCATACTGTAATGAATTAGATATCAGCTAGTTTAAGCCCAATCCAGTTCCAATCCTTAGTTTCTACTTGCAGCACTGTCAAAGAGATGACCTAAGCAATGACCACTGTGGAACCATTTTACAGTGGAAAACAAAAACTTGTACTATCTACAGCACTGGTGTTTTAACTGTGCACTAGCCAACAGGTACTTGCGAGTAAGAGGCTATTACTCTTCAAGTCTGCTTTTTGCCACTTACTGCAAGCATCATAGCACCAGAAGCATTCACCTTTTGTTATGTTTTTCACACACAAGTCGAATGGATAAAAATGAAACTATTGCGGAAATGCTCTGCTTTACCAGGGGCCGTGCTGCTTTCACTTTGTGTCAGTAGAGACAACACGTTCAAAACTGAGAGAGAAGAGCAGGCTTCTGGGCTGCGTTACAAAAATATGAAATCATAGTGTTTTCACACTACTATAAAATGGATACTTTACATAAGTAGGCCACAAAAAAAAACAAACTTGCAGTTCAGAGTCTTTACCGTTATCTCCCTATCACTAATTAAGTGATTTCACTGCAGAATTTTAGAGTAACTTGTATCCAGGTCAGCAGGGAGTTCAATCAAATTTGATCATAAGCCAATATTAAACACACTATAAGATGGTCATTAAAAAAAGTAGGCCATAAAAAAACATTGGTCACATTATACACATGCTAAAAATTAGAGATGTACTAATATGGGAACTGTGGGTTGATGCCGATGCATACATTTCATGCACGGCTGCCAATGCCAATACGTACACATTTATACAATGAAGAAATTGAAATGAGACTGTCTGTGTTAGCATTACAAAAAATGTAATGGTAATTTCTGTAGGACTACAAATGCAGTAAAAGAAATAAAATTCAACTGGGCACAGTAGCCCAGCGTCTTCTGGAGTACAACAACGATATCATCAAATATTGATTTGAAATAACGGTCCAAAATAAACATCTGATGTTATTCTGTGTTACTGCTGTTTTACTGTAGTATTAACTGGAAGCCTAGACTATCTTACCTGAACTGTGTGGCTTATTATCAATGATCAGGCATTCAATGAATGTACCGATACGCAAAAAACCTGGACTTTGTCTGGACATCCTTAGTTTTATTTTAACAGAACTTGCTCATGTATTTTTGTATTATCTGTACTAAAAATGACAGCAAGAAAACTCAGTTCAATTTCAAAAGAAGACAAAGTGTCCCCAGACTTTTGATGGCCAGCGTACATGTGTTTGGTCACGCCCACCAGTGTGTGGAGTATTTCTAGAGGTTGATGGTGGATGTTAGAGACTCTGTAGTGTGATGTGTGTTCTATGGCCAGCTGTTTGTTTCTTTATTCTGGCACACAGGCAGAATCTGTCTGCTCTGCCCAGAAACAGTCCTGTTCACCTGGCATCCAAATGAGCCACTCTGATCCAATAGTGGGCTTCCCTAGCCACACTGGAGAGTGTGTGTGTGTGTGTGTGTGTGTGTGTGTGAGAGAGTGTCAGTCACGGCACAGTCCCAATTCTACACATACCCAATTTCCACCCTCGTGTTCGCTTCTGCGTTAAGCGTTCACTCCTTGAATCGCATGCGGAGACAGAAAGGAGGAGAAAGAGGAAGAAAGAAGGAGAGCGAGTGCAAAAGAGTAAAGGGAACACTTCATGCTGGCTGGCTGTTGGCGCAGTCTCCTCCGCACACAGAGTGAGTGGGAGAGAGCGGCATTTGGATGGAGTGTGTCACTCTCTCTCCCCCTCAGTCTCTGTGATTTATTCACTGCAATAAGTGATGCAGAGACAGGCTAACAGGCCAGCAGACAGCAGGGCATTAGCATAATGTGTGCTGTAAAGGGGTTGCTAGAGCATCCTGGGTGTCTCTAAAAGATATATGGCACATTTAGATTAGCTCTGCCCGCAGATATCACTCCTCATTGTGATTAATGCAGTATTGTCATCTCCAATGCTCGTGAACCAAATGTATAAAGGGGCTAATTGGCTGCACTATGTGTTGTGTTGTGTTTATGCCCAAAGTTCACCAAAATAACTTGTATTTTTTTTAGAACTTCTTTCTGGCCTTTTTTACAGAAAAGCAAGAAAGCAGAAAAAGACAAAAGTGTGCCCAGAGTGGTGCAACACCGGCTTGATAAATGTTCAGCTAGCCGAGACAATTGTTCTGCTGAGAATGATTTTTACCTGAATGCTTGTTGTGGTGAAAAATAAAACCATGTGAGTGAGGATATGTGAGAGTTGCCTCTGAATACTGAAGGCCTGGCCTGTGTCCTGCCCTGCAGGGATGCCAGCAAGGAGCTGAGAATAAAGAAGACTGTTGATGCCTGGATCAACACGCTGAGCAAGGAGATTCAGGTGAAGCTCAACTCAAACATAACGTCCTATTAATCATTTAATACCACACACACACACAGTCCAAATACCCCCAGAAGTAGTACCTGATGTTTTGAATAATTCAAGTGTGGTAGATCACAATTCATCATTTTGTAATAAAATTAAATAAATTGAAATAAATTGGATAAAGTGCAGCAATAGGATCTGAGTCATTTGACACACTTTGTAACTACTGCTGATTGAATTTGTCTCTTTATGTACCTTGCTAATTTGTATACCAAACCCACAATGTTTTGTCTTAGATCGTACTAGAAATGCAGTGCTTGAGTGGGATTGTAAGAGTAGTGTGGGTGGGTTGAGGTGTTTTATATTGTATCTGCAATTTTAGTACATGTAACCTTGATACAATGGGAAACAGCAAATAAAAATACAGAATTTTTTTTTTCTTCAATAATCCCTTAGCCACATATCCAGATCATTTCTGATTTGCCAGGAACCTACAGTACAACTTTATTTACCCGGTAGTTATATATATATATATGTATGTATATAAGATTGGTGGTTTAGATTATATTATATTAGAAATACAGAGAAAATGGTACACCTTACAACCATGCAAGACTGGTTGACCACTGAAACTGTCACATAGACAAACAGAGGCAAATAAGCAAAGTTAAAAGTTTTACTTTCTTCAAGAGATCAAGCTCCACTTTTGCTTCAGGTATGAAGCATTTTGCACAGAAACTGGACATTCTGAGATGGGAGAAAGGTTTTTTATGAGTGCAGATTTGTGAACCAGGAAATGCAACCGACTTCTTAGACTGAAATTTGGAAAATATCAGATTTCCTTGGAGATTTCTTTGAAAAACTGAAACCAGGTTTACCCGGAAGAATGAAAGGTGTAATATAGGCAAACGGTAAACTCAATAAATACTGAGAAAAATATGTTAGATTTAGATGCTGTTGTGTAATTGTTTTTTTAAATATGTTTTCTGCTTTTTTTCCTGACAGTGAAAAAATAATAACTTACAACTTGTACTTAATGGGTGTCTTCACTGGAAATTAAATAAACAAAAGGGAGGTCTCTCACTGTAATTATTGCATTGTAGCACCAAACACTGTTATACATATCTGGTAGTGCTATGTACTTTAATATCCAGCCTGCAATATCTGTACCAAACATTACTTGTATTACTACATATTTGACTATTAATTATTAGGCACTTACTGAACTGTGAAGTAAAGTGCTGTTGTCTTTTCTCCCTGTGTGCCAGGATGAACTAGTGCACCCAGGCTCCACTGCACGGTCGAGAAGTGTGGAGAGAGGCAGCGGGGCAGCAGCGGCCTCAGCGCAGCGAGACCAGGGCAGCAGGAACATGAGCACAGCTGGGGTTGGGAAGGGGGGCAGAAAGGTGGAAAGAGAGGGGAAAGGAGCTACTGCAGTAGCAGCAAGAAGAACCCACACTCAGAGAGAGTCTATTAGAGCACAGGCAGCGAGCACACAGCCATCCAGCCAGCAACTCAACTCCTCTCTCAGAAACAAAGCTGAGCCGCAGCCACAGGCGGTGAGTGTGTTGGCACTATCACTCTCAGTGCCATGGCCACACAATGCATCACAAACACTCAACTTGATGCATCATCACCTGATTTCACTAATGAGCTCTTCTCACTAACAAAGAAGGGAATCTAATTAGTGAAATCATGTGTAGTGGTGCTTGTTTGGAACAAATACCAGTAGACACTGCAGCACTCGATGGAACATATTGCCCAGGCAGTGTGTCATAATGTATTCGGCACAGTCTGTCATTAAAACGCACTGGTCCCAGTGGGAACTGAGCAAAATTATAGGTTAATAGTAGGGCTGTCAAACGATTAAAATAATTGATCGCGAGTAATAGCATCATTTTGTGTAGCTAATCGCAAATAATCATATTTCTCTTTTCAGCAAAAATTTCACCCTAAAGAAAGATTATCTCCAAAAAAAAGCAGTATATTATGTTGTAGCTATATGAGTGGTCTAAATGTGCTTCATCACAATTTATTTATCACTTTTGATAATATTTCAGTAAAATTATCATTATAACAGGGTTCATATAGGGTGGATAATATGACGATATTTTATTGTATTGTGATAAATTATGTCACAGTATGCTTTTCATATTGTGGATATCATCAGTTAGAGCTGGACGATATGGCAGAAAAGCATATTGTAATGTAATTTACCACAATAATAACAATAGATTGTCTTATTGCCCAGCTCTATCATCAGTACTTAAAGAACATGGACCGGCTGCATGTTTTTATTTAAAAGAGCATAATTTGTCCTGTTTAATTGGATTTAGTGCAACTCAGTATGTGAAATGTTGAATAACACTACTGGTGCATTCAAACTGTTCCAACTAATTAAGCCTCAGAAAAACTGAATATCATGATGCAAATTTCATAGCGCAAAAATTTCTTTGTGTGTCACAATGTCATATTGTTGCAGTATCACCCAGATCTGAGTTCATATAAATCCTCAACAGGAAAATCATGTGAACCCAGGGAAAACATGACAATAAAGTGAACAAAGATTCCAGTTTTCACCGCAGACGTCTGATAAGAGCAACAGTGGCTGCATATTCCCAACAATAAATGTATGCAATATGTATTTTACATATAATCAGTGATCCCAACTTCTCTGTCATTGTAACCTCTAGCTCTTGCTCTCATTTATGAAGCTTGTTGATACTTGTTAAAGTAGAGTCTTTTGAGGGTAACTAGAGCTTTCCATTTTGCTATAGCTCCAGTTTACTACTCATTGGTTTATCTAAAGTTCTTCTGCTGTTACTGTCCAGCATAGCCTGCCAAAGCTATCCTCCACTGCTGACGTTACTGATATTACTAACATTGCCATCATCAACAATGTGATTTACATACTTAAGATGGCCCGTACTTTGGTGATTAACAAATTCATGGCATGACAACAGCTAGAAATAAGTAAAAGAGCCGTTAATGGAACTTCTTGCTCTTTAAAAGCTATATTTGAACGTGAAGGCTACAGTCACAGAGTCACAGCAACATAAAGCATGCAAGCAGCTGGGCTTCAGTGTGGAGCTACGGGTGGTTTGAATGTTCAAACTGCGAACATGCGTTATCAGCTTTAAAAAATGAGTGGTATTAATAATTTATCACATTAATTAATGCGTTAACTTTGACACTGCTATTTAATAGTGTATGAAAGCAGAGCAACAGAGGTCATTGTAGATTTTCTCTTGCTCCTGCAATTGGACGAGAGGGCTGCAGTCATGGCAACATATAGTGTTTAAGCAGCTGGGCATCAGGTTGGAACTGTGGGTGGTTTAAAAGGTCAAACTAGGAAGATGTGTTAACATTGTTAAAAATAAGGTGTGACATTAATAATTTATTGTTTCTAAGCGTTATTAACGCATTAACTTTGACACCGCTGTTTAACAGTATGAATGCAGAGCGGCAAGGGTCATTGTAGCTTTTTGCTACAATAACCATCTTATCAGTTTTAATCTGACAGTGGTTTGGCTTTTTTGTGCCTCTTTGTTGCGGTTCACTGCTGTGTATGTGCTTTACTTATCGACACATCCAGACAGCAACACAGAGGCTACACTCGCAACACTGTGTAATCTGCCCATCTGGATGCAAACACAATACCTCAGGACCCTGCACTGTCTCTGCTGCGCTTTAACTAAATGAGGTGTTCTCAGCGCCCATATGTTGCCTCCCACATCGATTTGCTATAAATAAGAGTGAGCAGACAAGAGGCAGTGCTGCTTATCTGTGTTTGGCCTGGGCCTGCACTGCGCTAATGGCTGCACATGTTTCCTGGTGTCGGTGTAAAACACACCCAGCCTAGCAACGTCTCCCGTGGCTGAGTGAGTGGTTGCCGTGTAAAGTGCAAGGTCTTTTTATTGCCCGACAAAAACCGCTGTCATGAGTGCTGACAGCTAGGCAAAACAACTAGCTACATAACAAAGGGAAGTGAAGAGCAATTTGGATGTTGACACTAAGGGCTTGACATAAAATGGGTTTTTATTTATTTATTTATTTGCTGCAGGTTGGTTTCTCCTTATTTTCCCTTAATAATCTCTGTTAAGTACACAGAAGGACATTTAGTATGCCTTTTTTTAATATTCTTTACAGCTGATGATTTTGTATGGTTGAGTGCATGTTCCTTTTGTCCCAGTCGGTGGTGCCGAGGTCTGAGGGTGATGAGGAATACTTGGCGAAGATATATGGGAAGGCCCTGCACGAGGGGCATCGACGTACATTGAAGAAAGGACCCTACCTCCGCTTTAGTTCTCCCATTCCAAAATCCAAAAGCCAGCGTCCTAAAGTGATCGAAAGCGTTAAAGGTAAGGCATGTTCACTGCAGTGAGCTTACAGAGCTCTGGGCTGGCCACAAATCCCACGCTGCTCCAGCATTCAGCCACAAGAGTTTCGTCTCCAATGTACATTCTAGTGTGTAGAATACCAACAGATTTGGGCTGTGACCCCTAGTAACAAATGAGTTAGATCTGAGTAAGCATACATGACTTAAAGGTTTTTGACATTCTGATTGATCACAGAGATGTCTAGAGACGTAAATCTCTTCATAATTTGATTCAATTACGATTCTTTAGCAAATGATTCAATCAAGAGATGTCAAGTGTTATTTTGTTACAATTTAGAATTATTTTTGAGAAAATACAGCACAGGCTACTGTGTAAATAATAATGTACACAGAATAAAGACATATAAAATCATGAGCTTCCTAAACTGCTGTTCAAACAATTATTAAAATGTTTACTGAGAAAAGTAAACAGAAAAAAAAGAAAATCTGCACTAGAACAGTGGAACTCCAAAATGTGGAGGAAGCTTTAATGAACTGATGAGTTCAGATTTGAAATTCAGATTACTTGGATCATGAGAAGCAGAAAATGCAACCAACTTCTAAGACTGAACTTCAGAGATGTGGAAAAATCTCTCAGAAAGCAAGTCTCCCTAAAAGAGTGGAAGCTAAATGTTAAAGGGTGGATACACTAAATACAAATTAAATTTATATTATATTTAATTATTGTTTTTTTCCTGGTGCTGAAAAATAATTTACTAAATGCTTTTTTTGGCTAGAAATTCAATAAATGAAAGAGCAGTTTCTGACTGCACAACACTGCACACAAAAAAGATCAAAATAGATTATATCCAATTCTGACATTCCAAAATGCAGTTGATTTGCCAGTTTTACATCTATGCATCACAGTGCATCAATTCATTTTTACACCCATAATAGTGTCCCTCATTTTTAGCTCCTCTGCAAATGTCTTCAAAAGAAGGAAGTGTTGAGTAAAGCCATGCAATTAAGTTGTCAGAAATTCTGTTCATAAAGACCCTCTTTCATTTTCTCTTTTATAACGTATAGTGTAGTAGCACAACCTTACTGCCTCTTTCACTTCCATTCCCAATCCCTTTGTTGTAGGCGTGAAGATGAAGTCCTCCAAGACCCAGACTAGCGTGTCTGGAGCTCATGATGTTTCATCTCTGCTGCAACCTGCAGTCTCTGAGCCCCAGTACCTGTTCAGTCCCAGTGGCCCTGTACAACAGCAGCAGCAGCAGCCTGGATGCCCTCTGCATGGCTTCCTCATCCCTATGGCCATCCCACTGGGTAAGCCCCAATTTTTCAACCACCCCAGAGCCCATCTGCAGCTTTGATTTGACCATATACACTCACTACAAGTAAAACACAAGTTAAGTACGCATAAACTGAGTTTCCATTCAAACGTGAAAATGGCAGTTAATCAGTGTTTCTATAAGTTACTGTTTTGCGCAAATTCATGATAAGCTTGTGACATATGGAGCGACACAAGTGTCTCGATCAAGGTGTGTGGCATATACAATGAATATAAGTAAAGGATAATAAGGGATTTGAACCTTTATTAGCTCTCGGTAGACCGGTTTTGACAGCCCTCTTTCTGATGTACATAGCTCTAGCCCTCACAGTTTGGAGACACCATGTGGAGTGAGCAGTGGCCCATTTAATGAGGTCTGAAGTCACTGTCCCACTTCGCCATCGCCCACCAGAACCCTGGGAACATGACCAGGGCAAACGGTTCTGATGGGACAAATACTTTTGTTCCCACTAACTCACTGCTTGTTTGAAAAATCTTTTTTCATCACCATTTTTCATGTTTCTCCTTTATTGATTAACCCAAATCTCCACCTTATTCAACCATAAAAAACGTTTTAGGCTATATTTATTTTTCAGTTTGTGTCTTTTCCATCCCGTCTAATTTATGCACATTTTATGCACAATTCTCAAAGAAGAGGTGGATGGAAAATCTGTGGCTTCAGTCATATAACTGCTTCAACTACTTATTGCTCCCAGACTCATTAGGTTCTAAAGTCAAGGTCATTAGATTCAGACTTAATAGCAGTCTTCCAATGTCATTTCAGCAGAGACGTTTAAGAAATGGAACAATGCTCGTTTGAGCTATTTTTCAGCAGGCGTGCGCCTCAACGATACTGCATTAACCTGCTGTGGGTCAGTGTAAGTATCTCTGCCTCTTAATGACTCTACATTAACAGCTGTTCCAGCTGTTTGCAGAGTGCAGTGCCATCATGGACTTCTGTCCACCTCACAATAAAGTAGTGTATTCCAGCTTGACCCAGACAGCCCCCACATGCTGCCACCGTAAAGCTGCCCTTCTTATGGCTGACACTGAGCACACAGCAGCATTAAAGAATGGACTTAATTAGACAGACATTTTAGCTGTGTGAGTTTAGCTCTTAATTATGGCTGAGTCTTTGCTCCTCTAAAGCCTCCCTCCCTACGCTGCACTATTTTAATCACTTCACTGTCAGGGACTTTAATGCCCTCTATTCCACTCTCATTTCCCCAGTTCAAATCACCATGAGCTACGTCTTATGACTGACCTTGTACTGACAGAGGCAGTTGCGCTTATTAGCCAGGCCAACCACATGTATAAAAGCATTTGTCTGCTTTACAAACCAGAGTTGGGGCAGTAACAGCAAACAGCCAACTGAAAACATTTGCAGACAGACTTACCATTATTTGATAGTGTTCTCCTTTTTTCCATTTCAAGGACTCTGACCTCTAGGGTTAAAATAGCACACTAGTTTGGTTCTGACTGCATTGAAACATGCCTCTCTGTTAAACCTTCAGTGTACAGCTCCTATAATGGAGTGGTGATGCAGTGCTCCTAATGAAGAACGGTATCAGAAATGGAATCAAATGGTGAGTGATGTCGCTTGAACAGCAGGAGGCTATTTTGCGTGTTATTGCTTGGCAGCAGAGCTGACCTATGCTCTGGGATGTGGCAGTATGAACAAAACCACCTCTAATCACATCTGCAATGCAGTAGCTGTCATCAGAGTGCGAAAAACACATCCTGCACTGTCTGAAGAACAGGTTTCCCTCCTTTAACACAGCCACACATCCTAATCCGGATGGACTGTCATATGAGACGTTGGAAATGGGAATTGTTGCTCTGTGTGTTATGTTGGCATATAAAGAGGCAGCAATGTACTGGGTAGATGATCAGGTCAAAAACAGGTGGTCCTCTTCATTGTTCCACGTTAATATTTCTTTGCAGTAATGCTTTCAGCGAAATTAAATTTACCCAAGTTTGGTTTGCCGTGTCTAGCACTGTCTTTCTAATGTAAAACAGAATTGATTAAAGCTGGATAGGCAGCAAAAATCTAATTTACAGTTTCCCCCCTTACGCCAAATGTACTCAGTTAATATTTGTTTAATAATCTGACATGAAATGAATGCAACTTGTCCGTCACCTGAAATGTAGCTAATCAGACAAGACATGTTTGGTATCTTAAATTTGTTTCATTACTTTTGCACTGGAGCTACAAGGCTTATGTAGTTAACCAGCAATGAAAGTAATGGTAGCACAAATTAGCGTCTTCCAAAATGCATGCTAAAAATAACCATATTATCCATAACTTTGAATCATGTCATGCTATTCTAAAAGTATAAAAAATAACAAATGTAAAGACACAATTAAGCATTTAAAGGGGCTCTTATTTTGTTAATCTGTTTATACTTTTAGCTGTTGACTTCTGCATGAATGTAATCCTGACTGCCAAATAAAGAACAACATTAAAAATTTCAATTACGAGATCTTTGCCCTTCTGTGTTTACTCAGTTGGATTTGAATTGGACTGGACTATACTGGGAGACGCTGACATCAAGCTACCCCTTAACCAAATCAGAATTAGGGCAGCTGTTTTGTCATCAACCTATTTCCACAGACCAGCTACCAGTGAGTGAGCTAGCTAGCATTTTGCCGAACATAACTAACCCCTTAACTGTCGTAAAATGACTGCAACGCAAAGGTTAAAATAAAAAAAAGAAGAAAAAAAAGAAAGGAAAATGTCTGCAGTGCCTGCATTAGCAAAGATCACTCACAATTTCTATATAAGCGAAACTGGGCTTTTGAGAAAATTTTGTTTATAGAGTTGTTTCTTTTCTCTCCCTTTACTGCCACTGGATGTCTTTCTGCATAATTTGTTAGCTAGTCCAACTTAGCCAACAAATATTTAAAAGTTGCTTAAATGTTGTCACCACTAATAGCCACCTAGCCTCTTTAATATACTTAAGCAAACGCTAACAGTGTTTGGTTGACTGGCCAAATTCCTTCTTGCGTTTGTCGCTAACACTTGTAAGTTTATAAGTTTACTTCTGAAATCCGTTATCTCGCTCAGATTCAAAGTTGGACCTCTGCCAGAAAATAAAACTTAAAAAAAGGAAAAAATCGTGATCAGACAGAGAAGATTTTGGCATTTGAAGCGTTTTGGCATTTAATGCCATTTGGATTATAGTTCAGGATTTTATTTTTTCAAATTTCGGCTAATGATCATCATGACTGCTACTGCTGTTTCTCGCCATTTTTATAGATAACTTTATAGGTTACCTAACAATCTGAGAAAGTTTGAGGCAGATATATGATGAATTAGGCATGCACTTTGCACTTTGGTGCAATTTCAGGTGACAGGCTTCATTTGAGAAAATTTTGTAACTATGATTTGTCACCAAAATATTGCTTTAGGTGAAATAGTTGAGGCTTATTCAGCTTTCTTAAGCTTTAACTCCTACCAGACCTCATTGCTGAAGCTGTAGTCATCTGTGAGCTTTACTTATCCACTCCTGCAGAGAGAGGGGGTTATATCTGGATATCTGTTCTAATAACCCGCATTCTGCAGAGGGCACTTACAGCATATCAGGAGCTTGTTACCAATCTGGCTGATGTTTCAGGCTGGAAGTTCCCTGGGGTGGTTTAATCACATGCCACTTCAGACACTTCAGAGCGGTCTGTTCACTTCAGCCCTGGTGGCTGTCCTATTTCACATCACATTGTGCCTGTATGTGTGTGTGTGTGTGTGTCTTGAGAGAAGCCCTGGCGGAAAGTTCCAGACTCGTTAATAACTTTGCAGACTGTGCTACAGTGTGTGGCGTGTGGCTGTGAGTGTGAGGGGAGCAGGTTTGGCCTGGCCCCCGTGTGCCTCTCAGTGACACTCTGTAGGGCTGCAGTTTAGAGCTGCCCTATTTTCTCAGCTCAGCGGCTCCCCGGAGAGGACAGTGGGATTGGCAGAGGCCCCCAGGGAAGCACGGAGAGGCTTTCATCTGCAGCAGCTGTTAAGGCAGGCACATCCGCAAACTGCCCCGAGTTTCAGACACCGGCCAAGTATGGCAGGCAGCTCCCCGCAAATCTGCTTATGAAGTTCCACATGGCAGTTCGGAGAATGTTCTTGTCAAGTCAGCCTCTACTGATAGCAGCTTTCCCACAGGGTGATTGGGGGCCGATTGTGCATTTGTAACTTTGCATTTGAAGATTTGATTGTCAGCTAAGCTACTGGAGAAAAATAGATTTTTTTATTGTAGAAATAGAAACAGCTAAAAATTCTTTCTAGTGCATGATGTTCACATCACAACCAGCCTTTTGGTCAATTTTTAATTATTATTATGGGACTAATCTTGTAGAGTCAAAGCCTCATAGGCTGGAGCTGTTTTGATGGAACAGCAAGTAGGTGGTCATAATGTTCTGGCACATGGATGTATTAGTATGACCAAACGAGCAGTGTTGTAGCCTCCTGTAGCATTGTTGCCAACCATTTCTGCATCAGAACACTAACGATTTGACTCTGTAACGTGATCCATGATTGACCAGGTGAAGTTTACAGCATTTAATCAGGTGTTCTGACCTTGATAGACAGTTATGCTGTCTTCTGTCAGTATGTCAGATATTTAGATTTCTCGTTTGCCTGCATTGCTTCTTCACATTCGTGTTTTACGGTTTATCTAGCTTGTTTTCAGTAGTCCATAATAGCCTTTATATCTGCCCTTTTATTGTCTGTCATTATGATTATCTGTCCATTACAGTTTCATTTTCCACTTTCCCTGACTCCTGAGATGCAGGAATGCAAATGAGTTTTCTTGCCTCTTAACTTTTTTTTTTTTAAACTGGCAGTTATACAACTCAGCCCACATGTTTCCTATCAGAAATATTTGTGCATTCCAGATGAGTCAGAGCCTCTTGCTCCTGAGCCACCGTTTGGATGCCCTTCAGCCAAATTATGGAAATCATAAAGCTACGCCGTGTTTTGCCCAGCTCCATGCAGAGGGCTGGAAAAACAGATTGCTGAGCCCGCAGCAGATTTATGCAAATGTGTGCCTCCTTGTTGGCCGTTAATATGGCGCGGCCGAGCAAATGCATGACCGCTAACCTGCCGAGAGGATAGCCAGAAATCCGGCTAGTTCTGCTAGCGCACCCTGGCTGAACCTCTTTGTCTCCTTGTCCCCCTTGCTGAACATATGCCAGTCATGCAGCTGGGCTGGACTCCCAGCCTGGCAGATGTGCTTGAACGTGTTCATCTGTATGTTGGGTTTGAAACAGTGTGTGTGAGTCGTGTGGATGTCCTTTATGACCTCTCTGGGGTAAAGTAACGGGGAGGTGTGTATCAGCTCCAGCTGTTGCAGGGAAAAGGCTGTCTTTAATATCCTGTTCACGTGAGAGCACCTCTTTCTGCATGTCTTGGCGTGTAAATAGTGCTGTGATGCTATCTCCCCTGTGTCAGAGGGGAGATATGAGCAGAGCTTCGGGGGGTTTGTTTCAAGACCACGTTCATATTGGCAGAACGCATCCAGAGTCCACACGCGTATCGTGTGTAAGAGTCCGGAACAATGGGCCTCACTGCAGTGGTGTGGGGAGGGAGAGCATGTTTTTGTTTGTGTGAGAGAGAGAGACTGATTGTCTTTGTGATTAGCAAAGCCCCGCCTCCTCTTGATGGCTTTGTTTAGCGCCAAGTTTGTGCATCCCAACTGGCTGTTAGTGTACTGCATTTTTATACAGTGTCTTGTTGTCTGTGATTGAGCTAAAGGTCTGTTTGAACTGGATTAGTCTTTTTTAAATACATTTTAAATACAGCAGGGCAGTACAAATCTGCAGTGTCCGTAGTTTTTACAAGGCTAAAAATAATATTTACGGAGTGAATGGCCTTCTGTATTTGGCTGAACTCAAATTTCCCGCAGTAATAGCTGACCTGTATAACTTGACCTCACAGATTGACCTCACGGTAGTGTAATAACAAACCTGGGCTATGCCCTGTTCACTGGTTAGTGCACTATTTGGGATTCTGCCATTTTGTACTGGAATGCCAATAATGTATTGTGTCATGCCACACAGTGTGTCTTCTGTCACAGAGTGATGAGCAAACCTGTGTAATGTCGTTGTGTTAAATAGTGATTAAGGGACCGTTTTAAGCATCATAATGTTTGCTGTGTTGTTTTGTGCCTGCAGATGTTTTAATCCAGGCTGTCTGTGGTAATTTTGTGTGCATAAACTGGCTATCCAGATCCCTCACAGTGATAAAATCCCTCTACTGATAAAAACCAATCCACCTCAAATAGTGCTTAAGCATTCTGTTGTGTATATTCCTCTAGGTAAGCCCAGAGTTGATGGCAAAGCCCCTTTGCCCTCCCGGGTCATCATAAGTGACAAACCTGCGACAGTGATAACCTCGCTCCCTCCCACCACCGCCCCTAAAGTGACTCCTCCTGTCCGCAAGCCTAACACGGTGCTTCTGGAAGTGCACTCGGACCCCAGGAGACCTACCCCACAGCTCCAAATACAGGTACGAGATGTCTTGAGCTCGGTTGTCCTGGCAACGTGAGCCACCGCGGTGTGCAGTGTTACTACACTAAATATGGGTGAGCATTCAAATAGGATAACATTATCATCCTCTTCAGACTGAATAAATCTGAGATATTTCTGTTCTGTACAGATGTTTATTTGACATTACAACATCATCTTTGCTAATTTAATCTCTCTAGTGCGTTTATGTCTGGTACATGGTCTTTGTATTCATTTCCCTGCAGTATTCCTAAAAGATTTTCTCTCTCTGTATCCAGGTTCAGCCCAGTGTGAACATAGAGAGTGCAACATCCCCAGGTCCTGGTCTCTCTCCTCCTCTTCACCTCCCTCATCCATCTATTCAGGTGAGCCACAATCAACTACAGAAACTTTCTTTTTGTGTATCTTCCAGTTGTCTTGCACTGCACTTGACTACAGGTGGACGAAAATCTAACATCACAATACTTTAAGACATTTTCATGATACACAATGTGCATCGTGGTGTTTGTTTTTCACAGGTTTGATTAGTTGTTACAGACAAAAATGCATCATGATGTTTGGTTTTTCTGAGGTTTGATTAGTTAGTACATACATACATACATACATCATCTAAACCGCTTATCCTTCTGGGTCACGGTGGGTTGCTGGAGCCTATCCCAGCTGTCATTGGGCGGAAGGCAGGATACACCCTGGACAGGTCGCCAGTCCATCGCAGGGCTGATTAGTTAGTACAGACACAAAAAAAAAAAAAAACATTTAAAAAAATATAATGCCACAAATCAAAAACTGTGAATTCAATCATTTTTGTTCAGTGTTTCACATACGGTGCTGCACTAAAAACAAGACTGATTATGCTCTCTAGTTAAAGAAACATGCAATTGATGAGTGTTCTTAAAGTACTGATGATGTCTGCGATATGCTCAAAAACATATTGTGACATACTGTGATGTAATTTATCACAAAAATGATTAATATCTTTATATTGCCCCCCTACACATGACTCCCATCAGCATCAGCTATACAATAATGTACAAAAATAATCGACAAAAATGAATTTCTGTGGCCCTCCGCTATTAATTAAAAACACCTGATGAAAGCCTGCACTGAAATCATTTGGGTGATTTTTTTAACCTTTGTCCACAATCATGAAACAATAAAGGCTTGGCCCTTCAGCCTGATCACTGCTGGAGAATCAACTTCGCTCTGCGAACACTAACGCAACTAGAGGCTCTTTACGGCAGTGCTCGATTGTAAGAGCTTTGAAAATGAGTCATGAGCACTGGAACTCTTTCTCTGAGCTTCTGCTGAAGTGTGTATGAGGATGACTGAGGCTGCTATTTCGAGGTCACCACACCACAGAAGATCAGTTATGTGTCATCCATAGCTATGATACAATAAAGACTTTTTACTTTGTAAAAAAGTGCCATGGAGATTTATTTTTGTAGTTTTTAACCCCTTTTTGAAGCGCCTAGACTCTCAGGACCTCATGTTCTAAGCCTGAGAGCACATGTCCAAATCGGACGCATTCTGCCTACATGTTATGCACGAAACTGACGCACAAGCCTAAAGGCACAGTTTATGAGCTCTGTGTGTGGAAGAATGCGAAATATGCTTCTCTTATATCGTCACTGTCCAAAGAAAAACAAGTATCTCCAAAATAGTAACTTTACAGTAGAAGGCAAAAACACGCTTACCTTTCAACGTAAGTTAGTGTAAAGAGGTTTCATTCCAAGTGATTTTAGAGCATTTCTATTGGTCAATTCATCATAAATTTTCACACAACGTAAAGGACAGCTGGTGTGTTGAAATGAAAATTGAAAATCGACAAAAATGGAGATACGTGGTTTTCCTTAGACAGCGACGATATGCATCTGAGGGAGGGCCATGTAAAACAAGGAAGGATTGATTTCAAAGTGGGTTTAGATATCGGATATGCGGCTAATTACATATTCAGCTTGATTATGCACGTGGTTCTTGCATTTGATGTTTTTGATTTGGATTGTTTCAGGACACAGGTTTGTTCACGTTAACGACAGATTTGAGTCACTTTCCTACATGAATAAGACTATAAGTTAAAAAAGATTGAATCTGAGCAAACAATCTGAATTGAGCAATGAGGCTTGATATGTAAACATTGCCAAAAGGCCCTTCATTTGGAGACTTACTCCTTCTAACCTGCCATAGTGGTTAGATGGAGGAACCATCAGAATAACACTTTTTAAACTCTCAGGACCAGATTTACAGGAGAAAACACGAAAAAAAAAAGATGCCATTATGCGGCTGCAACATGCAATATATGCAATCTGTTTTATTGCTTCACAAACTAGTAAACTAGTGAGAAAACTCCATTAACACTTTTCATCACTAAACTTTCATTTTTTGTTGCGTCTTGAGCTTACTGACGGCTCCATTATTTCACTTCTCCTTTTAAACTCTGTGTCTCCTTAGTGTGCAGTTACTGGGCAGGGCTACATTAAATTCAGTTATTATTATGGTTGCATCAAGGCACATGTTGCATTGCGCTCGTACATACATCTGACCCTCCGTACCCACTTTGGGAGCACTCTGATTTCTCAATGCCGTTATCTGCTCCATATTCAGGCATGTCTGATTGCAGTCATTAGACTAAATTACTGAGCCATTAACAGATGACCAAAGCTCTTCTCTCACACCCTTCCTGCAGAGATTAGAGAGTAGTATAGGAGGTTGTGTCTGTTTCAAAGGTTATGTGTCCCTCTGGTTCCACATCGCAGAGGCATAGTAAGTGGAGAACAGAGCTGCTTTAGAAGTGTGACTGTGCCATACTGTCGGTCAGACAGTGGATCCTGCTTCAACATGAGCGCTAATGTTTCTGCAGCCATAGATTGATCATTGTGACAGGACCCGCACTGTTTCTGTAGTGTGTGTTTGTGCTGTGAGTGCTCAGTACAGCCAGAAAGGCCATTACATTTCTCATATAGCGGCTGGCCCTGGCTCCAATCAGGGGCACTAGATGGATGGACGCTGAGCCATAACATTTTGGCCAAGGTCCAAGCAGCAGGACTTTTAATAAGAACGATACCTCTTTCACTCAAGTTTGCATTTCTCATTGACTTGCTATTTATATACACATACACTCTCTCTCTCTCTCTCTCTCTCCTCTCTCTCTCTCTCTCTCTCTCTCTCTCTCACTCTCTCTCTCTGTCTTACACACACACACACACACACACACACATACATACATATGTATATGTGTACATGTATACACACGTGTGTGTGTGTTTCAGGGCAGAGTGGCTGCAGTGCTCTTCCGCAGCTCTGCTGCTCGTGCTCCTGCAATCTCAGCCCCCGCCGTTCATATCCGGTTGCTAGGCAACATGTGCAGCTTGGTAGAGGTGTGGGTTAGATGATTTGATGCGAGAAGGAGCGCTGAGAGGATGAAGCAGCAGCGTAGCCCCGCTGCAGTCACATCACTGCTGTACAATCAGCTCCGCTCTGCAAACATAAAAAATTACCAAAAACCTATTTACTGCTTTGCTCAATCATAAGAGCTTTTGAAATGAGTCATGGGTACTGAACTCTTTCACTGAGCTCTGTGCTTGGATTCAGGGGTGTGTGAGGATGGATTAGACTGGTGTTTTGACACCTTACATACAGTACTGTGCAAAAGACCACCCTTCATTTATTTAATTTTCAGTCAAAACGGCCATGAAGTACAAGTTATGGAATATTCAGAAGATATTTCTGAGGAGATTAGATATAAGACAGGGGTGTCCAATTTTTTTTTTCAAAGAGGGCCAGATTGGACCATGTCAAAATACCTTATGGCTGAGATATTATTCACAAATGATTAAAATACTTTTCAAAATATCAAAAATACAATGTAGAGCAGTTAATCGAACCAAACGTCTTGCTGGCAGTCCATTCCAAGAATTTGATGATGACCCCTTGAACACATAGGAATCTGCCACCAGTGGAGTTACACGTTGTGCATGTTCATGTTGGTCAAAGTGAAACATATCGCCATGTATGTTTCTGTTAACGTGTTTCATGTCACAATCTTGTTGGTGTTGGTGTTGTGGTACGCAGGTAGCATGCAGTTTCTCTGCCCTCTCCTCCGCTGAATATTTGTTGTACTGTCCATGTTTTGTTTTATGTCTATTGATATTAAATTCATTACAGTCTTTTGACATATAAGGATTGTGCATTTGCTGTGGCTCTTAATAGAAAAGTATTTAAATTTCCATCTCCAACAAAATCACTGGTTTTCAATGTCAAGTTTGTGCTTTATAGCTGAAGCCTTAAGTAAACTGAATGCCATTATCAAGTGCAAAAAAACTGCAACAAATTGGCTACCGGGCCACTTGGAAGAAGCCACAGGCCAATTAAAATCTGTCTGTGGGCCACATTTGGCCCTGGGGCTGGACGTTGTACACCCGTGACATAAGATAATCCGGTTGCATAAGGAAGCCGAACGTCAAAGGAAAATAAGTGGAAAAAAGCAGAAGTCCTGAAGTCCTAAAGACCTGGAAGATCACCAAAGCTGTGGCCATCATATAAACAGTACTCAAAATGTTAATCTCTTGCAGAGAGGAGAAAATCAAGCTCCACTCTTGCATCAGGACTGAAAAAAATCCATGTTTCTGTTCTTCTGTCCATCCTTCCACTGTGAGTAGACAACGCTTTGGGTCTTAAAGGATGTGTAACTGTCACAAAGCTCTTACTGAGAAAAGGAAATAGACAAAAAGGAAGAAAATTTGCAAATCTAACAAATAAGCTGCTGGTATTCTCAGAGAGTCCAGACCTCAAGTTTTTGGGATTACTTGGATCATGAGAAGCAGAAAATGCAGCCATCCTCTTAGACCAGAGCAAATAAAGGCAAACAGTGGATATATTAATATTACTGGAAATGTTAATAATATGTTTAGTTTTTGAGGCTTCTGTGTAATTTTATGTTAAATGTATGTTTCTTGCTTTTTTCCTTGCTCTAAAAAATGAATAATTTGTGCTTAATGGTCATTTTGACTGGAAAATAAATAAATGAAGGGCAGTCTCTGACTTCTACACAGTATTGTATCAGGAATGTTTCATCAGTCTGTTTGCAGCAACTAATTCAATGATACAGTACCTCTGTATATGTACCATAAATCTATACATAATTTGCATTTTCACCAAAGTTTACCCAAACTGGTGCTTTTAATTTCTTCAGGTGCCATGCAAATTCATTTCTATATGTTTTGATCCCCTGTCTGTAGGGCTCCGTGGTTAGACACCTGATAGTCCTTAAGTCGCACTCTCTACTCTCATTGATTTGTTTTGTTTTGTTGTTTTGTTTTTTTGCAGTCATTGATCCTTTCCCAATTACCTTTTCTCCACAGTGGTTTGTCTTCACCAAGCAATTTTAAAGCACTGTATTTTGAGCAGATGAGGGAAATGCAGCACTAAACAGTTGTGGAGAAAGAGTAGAGATGAAGGGAGTGTGCGCATGTTTGTTTTACCCAGCTGTGCAGTTAGCAGGCTTGGCTAGCAGAGACAGTGTCAGTCTTATCCTCAGCCCAGCCCTGAGGAGGCGTACAGCTCTGCCAAGGGCACACTTACAGCATGGCTGCCCTCATTCCTCTCAACTCTTTTGACTCTTTTCTCTCTCTCTCTCTCTCTCTCTCTCTCTCTCTCTCTTTCTTTTTCTGCATCAAGCTGCCCGCCCATGACTCATCAGCCTGGCAGTCTTCAACCTTACAAGCACTCACACAGGCACACAGATACACATACGTTCACCCATACACACATAGAAACAGGCTTTGATTCTTACACATGGTTTCGGTCCAAAATCTCCCCTCCTCCGCCTCTTCTGTGGCCTGTGCACCTTTGGTCAGAGGGAATTGAATATGACCACACCTCACTAAGCATGCCAAGATGACACACACAGAGCATACTGAAAAATAGATGAGTGGGTCCTCGGAGGCTTGTCCGTGAGCGCAATGCTTGGAAACCTAGCACACGCACTAGAGAGGAATTTATTTCAGCTGCAGCTCTCATGCTCCCCACGCGGTATTTGCCTTGGATGGATATTGAATTCATGAAACAGCATAATTGTAAAATGAAATTCTCTGTGTAATATTGTGTGTGTGTATTCATGTGTTTGTGAGGGAGAAAGACAGTGCAAGGGTATCTACAGTAATGTGCAAAGTCAGAGACCACCTTTTATTTATTTAGTTTCCAGTAAAAATGGTTGTTAAATGCAAAATAATAATTTTTCAGAATAGATTTTTGAGATTAGATATAAAATAAACCACTTGAATAAGAAAGGAGAATGTCAAAGGAAGACAAGTGAATAAGAACAGTGGACTGACCTCATAACAATAGACTGACCACCCCAGAGTCCAGACCTCAACATTATTCATTGTGTGGGATTACTTGGCGTGAGTAGCAGAAACAAACTTCTAAGACCGAACTTTGAAAAAAGTGAAACTTCTGAAAGAGTGCAAGCTATAAAAGAGTCAGCTGAAAAAGGAATAACATAATGGATGCTTTGACTGGAAACCTAAAGGAACAAAAAGTGGTCTGACATTTGTACTGCATGTCTGCAGGTGTATGTGTTTTTGTGTGTGTTTGTGTGTGTAAGAATATCTGTGTTACCATTTCTTCAGTAGTAGTGAACCGCCTGCTTATTGACCTGCTCGTCTCCCTCAGCCTGTTTCGATACTGTGAATGTGTTGTGTGTTTGTGCGTGTGTGAGGGGAATAGTAATGAATAGTGTAACTCTTGGGTCCACTGCAGCAGGCTGTTTCTGCTTGCTGCTCTGCAGTGCTCATTCTGCAGCACGCACTCAGTCCCGCTACACATACTCCATCAGCGCTGTTCTCTGTCGCTGTTCCTTTGTCTGTGGATCACTTTGTCTGTGGCACAAAAAAATCCAAAAAGAAAGTGATAGACTCAGCCCCCAATTCAATTCAATTCAGTTCAGTTCTGAACTTAATTTGAATGAAGCATAATGATCACTATATCCATGTTGTTGCACACCTTACTAACAGCACTAGAGCTGACAGCTGGAAGGAGTGTGTTTATGAACATGAACATGCTGGAGTGAGTTATTTGGTGCTGGTTGTTTGAAAACTTTGTTTTTCAATCAATGTAATTACATCAGACGGTATAATTATTAGGATGTCCATTCTCCATATTTCATATGGTAACACAATGTCAATGTCACAATGCATTGTTACACCCCAAAGTGTTTGCAGTATTGGTGCACCTGCAATACAGTTTGCCTCTGCACTTGTATACAGTAAAGTGTAGGACTGCAGTGATTAGTCAACAAAATTGATTAGACATCAGTAATGTTTATGGAAAAGAATTGATCTGTACTTAAAAACAAACGTTCTATAATTCCCTAATAATTATAACAAATGACACTGCAAAACACTAAAAGAAGCATTGACACAACTTGTATTCTTTTGTTGTATGATAATCAAAAAAAATTGCTTGTCACAGAAATGAAACGTTGAATGACAGCAGTGCTGCGATGAGGCTAGAGGAAACAACAGAAGGCATAATGATTTGATAAATTGAATAGTTGAACGGTTAATCGCTTTCAGAAGTAATCGGAAAGGGATATTGCCCATTGCCCATAGTAATATCGTCTATTGTTAGAGGCATATTGTCTATTTTTATTAGTGCTGTCAAACTATTTTTTAATATTTGTGGACCTAAATCAAAACATGCACATTCAAATGTAGAAAATGTACATTTGAATCTCAAAACCTATCTGCAGCAGGACCCGGTAAGTGCCTAATCGCTGCTGCATGTCTACTGCAGCCACTCGCTTAAGTTGCAAGTAAGCTTAAGTAAGCTCTTTTTTTTAACCGCACTCACATGGTTTTACTCTCATAGCCACTCCATTTTAGCTTATAATGACAGTGTGTTATTGGTGTGGGGGATTTCATGCAATAGTCCTTCTTAAAGACACATCAGAATAGGCCTACGTACCTTTTTTCAGCAACCATGTCTTGACCCCCCCAAGACTGAGATCACTGATCACTGATTTAAACCACCATGAGGGTTTGAGGATGCTTGATATTTCAGAAATTAACATTTTTTCTTAGTTGGTCAAATATTTGAATATATTAAAATTTTGAAGACATAATTCCCACACAAATCAAGACATAATTTGTGTGAGGGTTTGAGGATGCTTGATATTTAACATATTTACTCCTACGCTTATATATCTGTACTTGTGTATCATCTCCCTGTGAATTTATCTTATGTACCTATTTATTTTCTTTGCGTCCAGAAAAATTATGTCTTGATTTGTGTGGGAATTATGTCTTCAAAATTTTAATATATTCAAATATTTGACCAACTAAGAAAAAATGTTAATTTCTGATCCCACTCGACAGTCCTAATTGTTAGAGGAATATTGTCTGTTGTATATTCATTTTTTCTCTTCGTGCCAACACCAACAACAGCTCTTAATAAATTTCTACTTGAAGAATAAAGATTCTGATCCTGGTTAGTACAGTGCTGTCTGTCTGCCCAGCTCTCGGCCTGCCGTCTGCCTGTCTGTCTGCCTGGCTCCAGCTTGGTCTCGTGCAGAGCTTGCACATGAGTGGAGGAGCTCTCTCTCTCTCTCTCTCTCTCTCTCTCTCTCTCTCCCTCTCTCCCCGTTACCATAGAAACGAGGGTGAGCAGGCAGAGACGGTGTGTAACCCCCTGGGGGAAGGACTTGTGATTCTTTCACATACTGAGCTCACAAGCAGAAGCAGGTCATGACCTTTGCAATCTCAAGAGTCAGGGAGTCCACTCTAAACGAGAGTGTGTATGCCTGGTGCTCACGAGTGCGGCTGAGGGAAGAGTAATTGTGTTGTGGGGTAAGTCAGCATTGTTGCCGTGATAAAAGGCAGCAGAGATTGGTAGAAAGAGCATCAGGAGATGATGATGGGCTGCTGCCTGTGGAAGCTGATAATGATGTTTCACACAGCACTTTATGATGCACAGTCAAATGTAATCAACTTGCTTTGGACCATCATCATGATCTTTAATAATTCATACTCATATAAGCTCATAATCCCTCAGGCTGTTAATGACATGAGGATTTCACTGTTGCTTTTGCACCTTGTTGACCTTCTCCTCTTTTGTGCCTCATCCCAGGCTGAAGCAGATGCCCACGCATTTGGTGATGAGGATGAGGAGGATGACTGCTTCCCTGGAACAAATTTCTTGGCAGTCGCTGAAGTCCAGGTAGTTCCAGCTAAATCTTTTTTCTGTTTTGCCTCAGTCCCATGCGCTCCAGTACACAGCACAAAGGTCATCTGCTTACTTGCCCAAGGGCATGGAGTGGGCAGCCTAAAACACCCAGCCTGCTTGCAAGAACAATGATTCATACACAATTTAGAATTTGACAAAAGTGAAAATACACATTGGGTTTGACACCTTCTGCTCAGACACATCAGCCATTAAGCGTTGGGTTCTCCATAATGAGATTTGTAGAGCCGAAGGGTGAAAGAGAATGGCGCTTTCATTAATTACCAAAAGCAGGGAAAGGATTAGAAAATATCATTCTGCAGAGGACATTGATTTAGACGATTGTTATTAAAAGGGCGTGGTATGTGTGTGTGTGTGTGTGTGTGTGTGTCTCTGTCTGTGTGCACTGCCTGTAACACCACCCCTGCCCCCCCGTTCAGTTCCGCCCCACCGCTGGCTGTTCAGGAATTCCTCTCACATCACAGGCCACTCAAGCATACACACAAAGCCATAAGCCTGCCATATTTACGGCTAACAAGCGACCCAAGCTGCCCGGCATATTGGGCATTAGGCCGATTCCAGCGCGCGGTCGGACAAGGGCAAGCCGTCAGTTAGCACGGAAATAGCACGGCAGTCATTTGACTGAGAGGAAAGGAGAGCATATCTGTGTTGTTCTCACAGGCTTTTGTAGCTATTGGAGAGGAAAAAAAGAGTGCAGAAAATGAAAATAAAAGAGGGTTGGGGGGTTTCACACTCTAAATAAGATGGGCTATTCCACATTGCCCCCTTTTGGTTTTGGGAGCAAACTGCATGCAGAGTCAAAGCGTGCTGATGTTTTTTCTCAAGGCTGCAGAGTAGCGGTGGTGAAAGAGAGTAGTAGTCCATAGTATTGTGTGGGCCAGCTGTTTTCTGACGTTTGGTCAGTAACAGCAGTAAGCTACTAATTTGTTTAAAATTCTACATATTTGGATCGCGCCTACAAAGATAGGTTGTGTGTAGGTTGCTGTCCATTTTGGCTAGCTTGCTGTGAGCCTACATATTGTACACATTTGAAAACCATTCGGCTTTTCAGTGCTCAATTCTAGAAAAGCTGCGACTCACTCAGCATTTTAATGTATTTTGCTTCTTTTTGGCAATAATTGGATTTCTATTAAAAAGTTGACTCTCTGTCAATATTATACTGCCTGTCTCTAATTGTTTGCATGTCAATTCAGGTCAAGATTATTGCTCTGGAAATGTAAACATTTTCCAAACTGAGAAGAACTATAAAAGAATTTGAGTACTACATGTGCGATTGCCTGTAATTAAGCCCTTTAAAAATTCCAATTAAGGCTGGCGATTTTTCTCCCACTCAGTTTTTTAGCTCTCCCAGCTGCCAAATAAAGGGCTCAGCCACTCCAGTCCAGACCCCATCAAACAAGCCCTCTCACTAAGAGCAGCCAGGGCCACATGCCCACTCCTAAAATGTCATTCCTCTAAGTCTCCAGTGTCTCTGCTCTGACAGACCTGCTTTTTGATGGAGCCATAAACTTCAAACAAGCTCAGTGACTTGCCAACCCTGCCAAGTTTTTTTTCCCCTTCTCTCTTTCTGTTTTGCCCTCCCTCCTGTTCTTCCCTCCTCTCTCCTCTATCTCTCTCTCTCTTGCCATTATTTCCACCCTCTCACCCTCCCTCCTGTTCTTTCCCCCTCTCTCTCCTCTATCTCTCACTCTCTTGCTATTATTTCCACCCCCCCTCCTCTCTCTGGAGCCTGGCCATTGGAAATGAGCTGATTGGTCCAGCCTTACCCAAGGCCGCCTGACTCTGAGCCAGAGGAATCTGCACATAATGCAAACCAGTGGCCAAAGTGTTCAGTGCGAACACATAAAAATTGAAAGAAGAATAACAGAAGACAAATGTCTCTCTGCTCTGCTTAGACAATAATGACCACTATGAATTCACACTCTGTCTAACATGTGTTAACAGTTATCACATCAACTCTGTTTGCCCTTACCAATGACTGCTGGTGAATAGATATCCCACACAAATCATGATTTGCAGCAGTTCTTTCTGTAAAGAAGTAAGTCAAATCAGAAGGTACATGCTGTTTTGCATTATAAAAATCTCTTTATTGCAATTTCCTTCCTTTTGTGTTAAAGCAGAAGCCTGAAGTGGAAGAAGAACCTCCAGAAGAAGCTCCTATAGAGCTCAATGGGTTACCCTCTCCTCCAGCTGCTCTCTATCATGGCCCAGCATTCCCTGTGCAGCCGGCCCAGTCTGAACCTCTCTCAACGCCTGTACTCAGCACTATTCAACACAGAGAGACCCTGGAGAACAGGCTTGTGGACTGGTGAGGAACTCATTTTCTGATTCTGTTACAAACTGCGCTACATGAACCTCAGGCATGTGTTGCTGATATACCTCAGCAAAATCAGCATTAAAAACTACTACTTGAATGTTTCACTGAGACTCTTGGTTTGATGCATTTGAAACACATTTGCTCACTTTTTTGTGTGTTTTATCTTTAATTTCTGTCATATTTCCATAATACAGTTGTGAACTAGGGCTGTACAATGTGAACAAAATACTAGTGTTATGATAATGTTAATGCATATTTCAATTGCGTTATGCCTTGCAATGTATCAAAAATTAATCAAGAATGTGATGTGGTTAAAGGCTTACCTGCATTATTTTGATCAAACTTGTTGGAGTACTTGTTGGAGTACATGAATGAAGTAAATCAAAACACGCATGGACTATATTTGTCTGGAGTAGTGTTCATTCAGGATGTTAATAGTACACATTATAAACGTATTGTGATTGGTTATGAGGTGCATTTGCATATTGCAGCCTTCTGCGATATCGGTATTACAAAAGCCAGTTTTGAGCCAACAGTTAATGAAATGTACGTTGTGTAGCCCTTTTCGGGAGCCTTACTTTCAGTTGGAAGAAAACTGCAAAGTCTTAGAAGATGGTCTGCTTCTAATGATCAAGGTAATCCCAAACACATTCAATGATGTTGAGGTCCAGACACTGAGGTGGCCAGTCCATTGTTTCGAGAACACCAGCAGCTTCTTTGTTTGTCTTGCAAATTTTTTTTTGTTTGTTTGTTTGTTTTTTTTTGTTTTTTTTTTACATCTATTTTCTCAGTTGTGGGTTCTTGACATCTACACATCCTTTTAGACTCATAGTGTTGAGTTGTCTTCTCACAGTGGAAGGATAGACAGAAACACCTGTCGATTTTTTCTGATCTGAGGCAAGAGTGGAGCTTGATGTTAATCTTAATCTGACGGTGACAGATTTTGGGGTCTGCCAGGTCTGGCATGGTTGCTAGGAGTCCTATTTTCTTTAAATCTTTTAAGATTTTTTCAAACTCCACCTATTTTTCCACCTATTTACCTATTTGACTTTTATCTTCTTTATGCAAGTGGATTGCCTAATGTCTAATCTACTCAGAAATGCCTGTTTAATAACTTATACTTAATGGCCATTTTGACCGGAAGTTAAATGAAAGGAGAGTAGTCTGTGATTTTTGCGCAGTACTATGTTAGCGGTTTCAGGTTTAGTGAATTGAAGTGTTTTGTTTTTTTTGTGTAGGGTGGAGCAGCAGCTCATGGCAAGGATGATCAGTGGGATGTTCCCTCAGCCAGCACAAACAGACCCAGCCAACGAGTCAGAGCCAGAGGACAGTGTGACCTCAGATATAGGTAAACCTTGTTTGTGATTCATGTCATTTTATGATGGACATGATGGTGGTGCAACAGTTGGGTCAAGCACGACTGTCAGATCTCTTCCCATAGTGCTGCCTCTTTCTGTAGTGTTACATCAAACATGAGTGATGAAATAAATGCATCACTGCAGTCAAAAGATTCCAACAAAATGACTAAAACATCTGGTGCAAACCAGGATAATGGTAAAACTACTCATAACATGCCTTTTCCCTATTCTTGGCTTGTAATTTTGATTCATAGTTTGTGCAAATGCAAGTAGTGCATTTGTCAAGGCCGTCAGAGAGCTAGGAGATTGTATTTCCTCATTATAGTGCAATTGCTCTTCTTCATCCCCTCCATTCCTCCTCTCCTCCATTTCACTCGGCTCACTTTAACTCTGCCCATGCACTCTCCCCGCCTCATTAATCCCCACTCTTGTTTAATAGAAAGATCAATGATGTATCAAATTTGCAGAGGAGGCTACAAGTCTCTCGATCAGCAAACCCTAGTCAGCACATTCAGGGACTGACTGGACTCTTCCCCGCTAAAGCGGCCACCCTACCGCTGCAACATTACAACACATTGAGGAAGAGAGCTCCCTTGCCAAGAGTGCCACTTTATGATAGGTGCCTTTTTAGTTTCTAAAAATAGTGCCAGTCAGAAATGCTGACGGGGCACAAATGCAAAGTAGTTTGGGTCAGATGTATAGCGGCTTTCAATTTGTTCCTTTAGAATTATTTGGCTGCTGATGCACTAGAAGGGTTCAGCATATTTTGGAAATATGGCAGAATGCTGGCACAGTTTAGCAGAATTATATCAGGTACATGTTTCAAGGAGCTCTGTCATTGAATTTGAGTAACACTGGCTGCCTTACGCAGGGTAAGCATTTTTCTAGCAGTGACTTTGATATGGTAATGATTTATTAAGCCCAACAAGACCTGTATACTAGCAACCAAATATGTCAGTCTGTCATCAGTATGCTGAATACTTTTTACGGAAGCCCTTTGCTCAACTATACTGGCACCAGAAAGAGCTGTTTGAAGTCTAAATCATTTTCCTTTCAGTGTATTGCACAGGCACAAACTAACAATTGCCAGAGCTCAGTAAGACATGGTGCAATGACTCTAGTTTATTGCAAGCAGTAATATTCTGCAAAACTGAAATTGTGCTGGTCTGAGTCATCGTCACAGAAGTCAGGACAGATGGAATTGAAGCAAGAACTCCTAATGGAGGTCATAATCATAACCAATCAAGTGTATGATTAGGTCGCCTCTCATGTGTTTTGCTGTGGGTCAGTGGAGACGGCGGGCGGTGGAGGGTTGCAGCTGTTTGTGGATGCCGGAGTGCCAGTGGACTCGGAGCTCATCAGGCAATGTGTGAATGAGGTGCTGGCTGAAATCATCTCTCTAATGCTGGGCCAGAGAGAAGGCTCCAGAGAGCCTGCTGCTCCTGCCTCAACACAGGACATACACACCCAGCAGGTAAAGGAGGATGCACATACTTGCACAGTTTTTGTTCATCAAGTTATTTATTTTTTGCCATTAGTGCTAACAGCCTGACTGTTGAATGATGGCATTTTAATAATGATTAGTTCTGCATTGACACCTGTGTTCTCTTATGGTTTGCTAATGTTGTAGCAGCAGACTCCAGTACCAACACCAGTGCCCACTCCTGAGCCCAGTGTGAGAGAGAGTCCTCCACTTATGAGGGAGGGGCTGTCTCCTGTTAGCACTCCAGATCTCTCTGAGCAACCTTCTCCTGTTCAGTCACCTGTGCCACCTCAGCCAGCTTTACCAGGTTTCACAGTATTCCCTCAACCTCTTCAGCTCTAGGCCAGAGATGCCATGAGCGGATGTGACATTTCACTGGGTGAATTAGAAATAGGATAGCTTGTGAAGCTTAATATGGTTGTAATACCTTATGCTTTGCCCCCTAAATAAAAACAGTCATTTGCCTTGTTTGTAAAGACATAACAAGGTCTGTCATATTCTTACATTGAAGGTAGTGTACATTTTTGTTGTCATTGTCTTTGTGGCTGACCTGAACTGGTTTTGATTGATGTTACCAAAGTCCTTATACCAGAGACAGTATCAGAAGAGGAACCATAGAAACAGTAGTAAAACAGTTTGTTGTCATTTAACCTGCGCTCTTGTAGTGGAGCACAAACATAGTAGCCAAGACTACCTGAAACACCCATTCTTTGTGCAGTTTGAGCAATAGTCCACAAATTTCAGGTTTGTAAGTCTTCTTTCAGGTAGGAGCCTGATCTTGTAAACTTGTCTAAATTCATTATTAAGATAATAATCTTAAAACTTATTCTGCTATTCGTTGACTGCTATAAATTATTTGATAAATGGCATGAAAATTATATGTTATCTAAGGAGTATTATGGCAGTGAAGAATTGAAGTATGGACCAGATACTGAGTTGAAGGGGTTAAAGCAAAGCACATTTTCAGGCATTGTCGCTTGATGTATCTTTCTTTAAATGTGTACAAGACGGTAACTGCTGACTCTCATTAGCTCAGCCCTGGTAACTTATTGTCCTTTCTGTCCTTGTTTCAGAACCAGAAAAGGCTCCAGTGGGGACGCCTGCCAGCACGCCACTTCCATCCCCCTGCAGGGTTGCGACACCTTCCCCCCCTCCAGAGCTGGCGGGCCTGTATAACCACCCGTGGGGAGACGCAGAGCTTCCTCTAAAGGAGGAGGAGCCACACAGCGAGGAAGAAGAGCAGCATCCACCACCACCGTGAGTCTTTTTCACTCTGTTCATCTCTGGCTATCTGGCCATATATACAATTAAAGGCTCCCCTAATGCACCTTAATGACATTGTATGCTGTATTAAAGCTTATTTCCATATTTCTTAAATGTCTCACAAGAACAATTCATTTCTGCTCTTAACATGATTAGCTACATGTAAGTGAATACATTTTAGAGGCGATCATTACATTTTAATGGAAGATTACAGGAAAGCTAGAATTTCGTTTTTAAATTTAGTTTTTGATCCATGATGAGTCATGCTTAATATAACCAGGGCCAAGAACTACCAAGGTTAAATTTTTTTTTAGGTTGATTTCAGGTAGACTTTAAATACAGTATTAAATACAGGCCTTGGAATACTAGGCAACTAAACGCCCACCAAATGGAAGTACAGAGGTTCCCAAACTGGATGTGTTATGGCATCATGATTCCTTTCTGTGATTTCTCTAAATTAGCAGAGCTGAATCACAAAAAAGATGATTTTAAAGGAATGTCCTCAAACTTGAGTTAGATAAAAATGCATAGAAGATAAAGTGAAAAATATGTGAAACCACATTGCCCCCTGCTGGAAAAGCATGAAAATGGCAGTGTTCAAAGAACCTCTGAGAGGCACCATATTTTCATTCATTTGGTTAGAACTGACAGAATTGAAAAGAGCTCAGTTAAAAAAGACTCGTCTACATCAGTCCATGCAGTGCAAGATCCCAGTTTAATCAGGAAATTAAATATTCATCAGTAGGCATTATACTGTGGTTACATATATATTGGTGTGTGTGTGTGTGTATGTATATATATATATATATATATATATATATATATATATATATATATAAAGATGGTGTAATTGCAAAAACAAGAAAAAGTTGACTTTATCATTTATTTAACAAAAAAATGAAAAAGATGTCAGTTCCTACTGAGGAAAAAGTTGCTGGGATTTTCCCCCTTTGGCTGAAATAACCTTAATTAGATGTTTCCTATAACCATCTATCAGTCTCTGGCATTCTCAGAGAAAGTTTTTCCCACTCCTCCATGCAGAATTATTTCAGCTTTGTGATCTTTGAGGGGTTTCTTGCGTGCACAGCCCATTTTAAACTATCCATAGCATCTCAATAAGATTTAGATCTGGACTTTGACTTGGCCATTCTAGATGGCCAACTCTCCAGTTCTTTCTTTTGAGAAATTGATGGGTTTACCCGAATGTTTTCATCACCATGTTGCATGGTCCAGCTTCAGTTTGGACAGATAGTCTCACATTTTCCTCCAACACCCTATGATACGATGATGAATTCATAGTGGGTTCTATGATGGAGAGCTTGCCAAGCCCTGCTGCAGCAAAGCAGCCCCAAACCATTACATTTCCACCTCCATGCTTTACAGTTGGTATGAGATTCTTGTGCTCAAATGCTGTGCTTGGTTTCCTCCTTGCACAACTCCCATGAAAATCAAACTTGTGGAGTCTCTTTCAGATAGTAGATGCATGTATTTTGAAATCAACTGTGGCAAGACCTACCTGTAGATCCTGTGATGACATTTTAGAATTGTTGGAGACCTCTTCACACATCTTGCGGTCTGCTCTTGGGCTGAACTTGCTAGGATGGCCTGACCTGGCCATGTAGATGGTTGTTTTAAATGTCAAGATCAAATGTCCATATGTTTAAATACATTAAAAGAGACAAAGGTTTTCATAATTCTGTGTGTGTGTGTGTGTATATATATATATATATATATATATGTATATATATGTATATATATATATATATATATGTATATATATGTATATATATATATATAAAAAAAAAGTTATTCAGAGTGGGTTTAATGTTGAATGCTGCAATCTAGAGAAACTTAATGGGATTTCCTTACAGTGATGGTGATAGAAACCTGGGGCCACAATCTACAAACAAATATAGAACATTTATTTTCTAAAATGACCAGTGAACCTGCACATATTTTTTGAGTATTTATATTTACTGTTGATAATGGTAAAATGGTGATAAATCTGAAAAAAAAGTTTTGGGGTACTAGTATGCTGTGCATGTAGTTCCCTGCCCTAAAAATATTTTAAAAATGTGTTTTAGGCCAAAACCTTTTCAAAACTATTGAAAATAATGTCTCAGGAGTCACATCTACTGTCAACAATTCTGAGTCTGTAAGTTTATTTGGAATTTCACACCAAACCACTCTGAATGACTCTGTTTACATCTTAATTATTTAATTATGTAGAAATTCAGAAAAAATAATTCTCCTTTTTTATGAACTAAGCTGATGGTGGTGGTAATCCAAGAAAGCACACTTTAACTAAGGATAATTCATTTTTTTTTATTAATTTTGCATATGTTTATATCTTTCTATGGAATGGAATCTAAATGTATCTGAAGAATGCAGACAGAAATACAGTTTCTTGACTATGTAAATTATTTTTGGCAGCAGAAGACAGAAATTCCAAGTTGGTACTATTGATGGTACTTACCTACACACTTTTTTTCAGGCTGAGTGACATATCTCTCAGAGACATATTTCTGAGAGATGTCTCTCTCTCTCTCTCTCTCTCTCTCTCCCCCCTTCACTTTCTCCCCTTCACTTTCTCTCTCTCTCTCTGTGTATCCAGCAGTGTGCTGTCCGTGGCCCATGAGGAAGAGGTATCTCCTGTTCCCTCCAAACCAGAAAGTCCTCTAGCTCCGGCAGTAGAGGAGCCTGCCCCTGCTCCTTCTGAGTCTCCATCTGTGGAGGAGAGCAGCTCACACTTCAGCCCCTCCCTCACTGAGACTGAGACTGCAGCCAGACACATCTCAGAGGGAGAGCTGCTGCTCAGCTGCGGCCAGATGGCTGCAGTCAGAGGTACTAGCCTGCCTGTCAGACACTTACACACCACACACATACAGAAGTGTCCATCCAGGTGGGTGATTCACATTCTGGTCATGTTGTTACACGGTGAACTCCTGCACTACACATTGCTACACTAGTACCTGCTGTATAACA